TTCTGATGTTACATTACTGATCAGATCTTGTCTTCATGAGACGTTACAAAGACACTCATGTTGTTGCCATAGTTACACAAGCTGCTTTTTTTCTTCTTCAATATTCCTCTTGGCTCGGGGCTCTGTTGTGTTTATGTTCGCTGCCATGTTTGTGAGCAACATCTGCCTGGTGACTCTTCCCAGTTTTCTCTCTCTCATTGGCTTTTGCAGGTTTTTCATCAGAGTCAGCCTGATTATGATTTGACTGTCGTATTGACACCAAACACTTGAGGATTATTTGGACAAATAATAATCGGTTGTGAGAAGCCTCGAATCGATGAAATGAAATCTTCATGATGCAGATTTGTCAAAACGCTCTTTTAGGACAAGCACACTTTTAAAAAGATGACCGTTTTTTTCATGAGTAGATTAACATCCCTTCATATCTTTGCTTTAAATAAGTTCATCATTGCACTGTTTGCATTTTGTCTGAACAAACGTTGAGGTCTTGGTAAAATTGGTGGATTGTGACAGAAGTTTGTTTGTAAAAGCTGCTGCAGGGGGAGAGAGTCATCAAAGTGAGTCAGCAGCAGAGGTTCACCTGCAGCACTCAGACACTGCTGTAACCTGACAGGTCGGAGCTTTGATGCTGACGAGAGGCACGCACACACACACACACATGTACATACACACACACACACACACACACACGTACACACACACATGTACACACACACACACTCTCATAAAAATGCAGCCTCGATTCCTCTCTGCATAATGGAGCCATGTCTCTCAGCAGGGGTCTGAGTGCCTGCAGGAGAAGGAAGTCGACTTTCTCACAGAGCGAGGCAGAAAAAGTTTGCACTGAGTTCATGTTTGTGGCATCAAAAAAGAAACTTCAGAAACTTTTTTTTTCTTCTTCGTATCATCCACAGATGAAGAAGTCATTAAGGTTTTTAAATTTCATAATCCGTTTATCTTTAAAGCGATAACTCTCTGTCCCGTCTTCGACTGAGCCCCCCCCCCCCCCCCCTTCTTTCCTGTCTCCTGCTTTTCTTTGTTACAGAAACTCCTTCAGCCCCCTCTTTGCATTTTGACTCATTTGACAGGTGCACTGAATGCCTCGGACTGCCTTTAATGTTCTGTAAATCCATATTCATGAGGCGACCACTGAGCTTTGTTCATTACGCGTCGAACAGCAGCCGAGTGAGCGACAGTCGCTGTAAATTAACCCGACCGAACTGAGCCGCCCGTGCTTCAGTCTCAGTGGGACTCACAGTGTGCTGCTGTCAGCTGCAAATCCTCCACTGCCAAAAAAGTTCTTCTGTTTCTCGCCCCGCTTACTGATTTCATTCTTTTCTAACTACTCTTACTCTGATCGGTTTTCCTCATGTGCTCTACCTGGGCTCTCTAATTTCACAAAAGAGCCAGAAGTGTTCCTACAAGGTCCTAGAAATATGTTCTCTTGGAGTAAAAAGCGACGTTGTTTATTATATTTTTGTATTTGTGTGTGAAGGGAATTTTGACAAAACTAATCCAGGAAGCCGTCACTCCCCTCTCCTATTGGCTCGCGGTGAATTCTCCGGAGAATATTCCGCTGCCTTCTCACATCAGCTCACTCTGACTTGCTGTGGAAAAAATACTAGAGGTCTGACAGGAGAAACTCCAGGTGAAGTCTGAGTGAAAAGACGGGCTGTTTGTGTTCACACATGCAGCTCCTCAGGAAATATCAGGAGTTTTTCAGGAGTTTTCTGCAAGTGTGAAAGCCTAATAATGATTTCCTAACTGTTCCTCTGATGTCCTACCACCTTAGCATTCCTCTTAGTGTTTTGGTCTCTTGACTGGATGACTCTTCTTTGATGTGTTGATACTGACGGATGGTTTTTTGTATTTAAAGGTCAGTATGAGCCTGACTGTGCTGTCTTCTCTCCGTGCTGCACGTAGTAAAAAGGTTTTCTGACTCATCTCACAGAGTTTGTACTTCTTCAGAGAACTAGCAATCCTCGTATTTTTGGAAGAAGTTTCTCTCTCAACTAACTGAGAGTAAAAGGAGAGAGAGCCTTTTAAGCATTGCACAGCAGGTTCAGCTACAAACGTGCAAAACATGTAAAACTGTATCTGCTGCAGAGAATGAAAAGCTCCTGTATGGAGATTAAAATCACTTTCAGGGACAATCTGATGAAAGATAAACACGTCCTACATCATTTCTACACAGCTTTGTCAATATTAAGGGTTCAGGGAAAGTGCAAAATGCGTCATACCTGCTGAGAGATGGAGAAAATAAGAAATATCTCAAGAGTGTGTGTGTGTGTGTGTGTGTGTGTGTGTGTGTGTGTGTGTGTGTGTGTGTGTGTGTGTGTGTGTGTGTGTGTGTGTGTGTGTGTGTGTGTGTGTGTGTGTGTGTGTGTGTGTGTGTGTGTGTGTGTGTGTGTGTGTGTGTGTGACAAAATTCCCTGAACACACATCACTGAACATCCAACATGGCAGCTCATCCCTCATGCAGCTGTGTGTGTGTGTGTGTGTGTTTGTGTGTGTATACCACATGCTACGCTCAAACTGCTGATTTTGCACATCTCAACAGATGGCAGGACACACACACACACACACACACACACACACACACACACACAGCATGCATTTTTACATTACATGCAGGCATCATATGTCAGGTGTTTGAATTAGACTCAACTCTGCTGTTGATCATAAACTCTTATACAAGTACACACACACACACACACACACACACCACACACACACACACACACACACACACAGAGAACATAAACATTAAAGATGGAGTCAGCAGCTTTCTCCTTAAATAAAATAAAGATTTATACTAAAGTGAAGCTGCTATATGGTTCCTTCTGGGCCTCCGTACATGTGTGGTGACTGTGTCTGCAGAGACTCTGTCCTCTGACTGGATTTTACTGTTCTGCTTTGTTCTGGTTGACCTGGGCGGGTGTGTTTCCTCCAGCCAATGACAGCGCAGCAGGTGAGTTTAGGAGTGGATACAATTCAGAGATTTGACAGGATTCAATCTGGCAAATATTATAGCAGCAAAGAAGACAAAATATAATCACAGTGAGGTGAAACACCACATGGACAGAGCTGTTTCCAAACGAGTGAACCTTGGCTTGGCTAGCTGGTGCTAGCGTGCGGTAGCTAGCAGTGTAGGTACAAGAACTAAACGTACACGCTAACACTGCAGTGAGGGTTGTGATGAGCCCAGGAGGAGGGGCCCAGTTTGAATGTTTTTGGTTTTCCTTGTCCAATAATGTGTCAGATCCATGTCTTCAGAAACAGAGCTATCTATGAGCACTTTTAATAATGTTCCCTTCACTTGAAGTCTAAGTGGTCCTCACTAATATAGAAAAAATCAGAGCCCACAAACAGCCAAAATGAAGATCTCATTGAAGAGAAACCTGAGACAGAAACATCACATGGATTAGAGATTTCTGCCCAAATCTCCGTTGTGTTTCCTGCTGATCATTCTGTCAGGTTCAGCCTGTCGGAGCTACACGTCTACATAATTACAGCCGGCAGATGTGATGGGCCAATTAACAGGACTCACACGAGCTGTTTGTGAGAGCCGGCGCTGCACCAGACAGTCGGAGAGTCGCGGGCATGTGTCCATTTCTTCTCTTTCACTGCAGAGAGGCTGAGATAGAAGAGAAATGACAGAATATATTTAATCCTACAACTGACTGTAATATGAACACAATGCATCTCTTCAATACAGCATTTGTTCTTCTCAAGCGGAAACCTTCTGTGTTCGACAAATGAAGTCGATGCAGAGGTGCAAAATCCTGCAGTTCCTGGAGTGTCCACTAGAGGCTGGCTGCAGAAGCACAGGAAGTCACATACACACCCATTCTAAAAAGCCTGTTTTTACAGCAGAGATGAACATGTTTACAGCCTGGTTCAAAAAACCAAATAGGTGTGATTAGCTCATGTCTCGATCAGCACACTGATTGTTACCACACACGATGAAATATCAACACTTTATGACACGATTCTGTGTGAAAGCATGCGAAAAACATGCATGAATATATAGTTTTAAGACTAAATGTACTTCCTGTTTGTACAATGAGTTGTAAAGCATCTGTACTCCTTTAGATGCCATAGATCATTGGTTCTCAACTGGTGGGTCTGGACCCAGAGGTGGGTCGTGGAGCCATTTTCAGTAGGTCGCCAATGTGTGTCTGTGAAGTGCTTTTTTAAACAGGTTTTTTTTTGTTCAGTTTCTTGCTTCTGTCACATGTTCTGTACCGACTGAGTGCTCAATTTTTTCAGTAAATAAATCTGATTGGTCGAAAATATCAGAAATTCAGGTCCCAATTTTTCACTGAGGAGTTGGTGGTGGGTCCTGAGGCTAAACGAACCACTTCCATAGATCATTAAAATATGGAATCGAACAGCGTTTCAAACAACAACCATAAACTGCTGCTGGTGTCTCAACCTGAAAATCTCTGTCACACTTATTGACCACCCAAGGCTGCCGTACCCAGTGATCACATATTCATGAATACACCTCCTGTCCTCTTTAATATTATGATACAGGGAAATCAGCTGCAGTGTATCAAACAATCACCTGGCACTGCAACCTGCACGTTGCTTCCAAAACCATCTCTGATCTCTTCAAGGTGAACTTGAAAAAGTTACTGTGTGTGTGTGTGCGTGTGCGTGCGTGCGTGTGTGTTTGTGTGCGTGTTTGTGTGACAGCCACAGTGGACCCCTGCTGGTGTCACCGCAGAGCTGCTGGTCGACCACTTTTTGGAGTTTGCACAGATGACATTCATTAGAGCGTGTGAGCTGAAAGTGTGTTTTCCTAACATGTGACTGCAGTGTTAACTAAAGAGATGCACAAATCAATGATGGACGTCTGTGTTTGGTTCATTGCAAAGCTGGTAAAACATTGCAGCTACAGTCGTAGAGATGTTGTGCACATCGAGTAGTTGTCATGTCGACAGGATTTGGTTCAAACCAATCTACAGAACTAACTTTTTTTTTTGTGTCTTCAGCTGCAGGACGAGCAACAGGAAGAGCCTGATTGTGACGTCCAGCACCTCCCCGACCCTGCCACGACCTCACTCACCTCTACACGGACACACAGGTAACACACACACACACACACACACACACACACAGGTATTTGTATTTCATGTTGCAGCAGCATGTTAATCATCTGGTGGAAAAAGCCTCAAAGCCTTACTGAACAAACTTTGAAGCGTGCAGCAGCAGACGGCACATTCGGCTGTTTTTTAAGATGAATCAATCACGTCTACCTGTTAGAGAAACTGTCCACATTAAAGCTCCTCGGGAACTACACACCTTCAAGAGCTTCACGGCAAACAGGAAAATCAAAGCGGTGTAAGTCAGCCGGGAAAAATAGAAATGCAAAGATGTGGTCAGAGCCGTCTGTTTGTAGTGTGTCAGGGTTTTTATCCTATTGAAGGGTTGGAGAGGAGACGTGCAGATTTCATACTTATTGAAGTTATTGAAAAGGCGAGGTTCATGGCACACACACACACACACACACACACACACACACGCACACACGCTGGTTACCAGGATACAGAAGCACGTGGCATACATGTATCATGGAGGCAGACACCAATTGTCCGTATTTGTATCGATGTTGGGTTGTATTAAATCCACAGATATTGATGTGACAAAGTGTGAACTCTGACGTTTTATTTTGAAATGTTCAGTGTTTATTTCTAAGTAATATAGATTTTTTGTCTTTAAAGTTAAAATTGAATCCTCTCTGGATTTTCATCACACACACATTTCATCGTGAACGTGTGTGTGCTGCTGCTCTTTGTGTGACAGATGAAATTGGGGCTGACAGAATTTTTGTCGTACACTCGACAGCGTCTGAAACACACAAAACCTCAAAACCACCAGCAGTAACACACACACACACACACACACACACTCACACCCTCCACCAGGCAAATGTAAAGAGAGAGACAGAGAGATGAATAATAGTGATATTGATTGATGGTGACTGAGGGGGAGAGTTGAAGTATAGATCGGGAGGACGGAATATAAATGGATCTCTGACAGAGACTGAACGAGACGAGACAAAGACGACGGGATGGATGTGAGACACGGAGAGATGTTAAAATATCGACAATTACAGAGAGGGAGAGAGAGAGAGAGAGAGGAGGGAGAGACAGGAGAGGGAGAGAGAGAGGGAGAGAGAGAGAGAGAGAGAGGAGAGAGAGAGGGAGGAGAGAGAGAGAGCGAGAGAGACAGGAGAGAGAGAGGGAGAGAGAGAGACAGGGAGAGAGAGAGAGAGAGAGAGAGACAGGGAGAGAGAGAGGGAGAGAGAGAGAGAGGGAGGAGAGAGAGAGAGACAGGGAGAGAGAGAGAGAGAGAGAAGAGAGAGGAGGGAGAGAGAGAGAGACAGGAGAGAGAGAGAGAGGAGAGAGAGAGAGAGAGAGAGACAGGGAGAGAGAGAGAGAGAGACAGGGAGGAGAGAGAGAAGGAGAGAGAAAGAGAGAGAGAAGAGAGAGAGACAGGGAGGAGAGAGAGAGAGACAGGGAGGAGAGAGAGAGACAGGGAGAGAGAGAAGAGAGAGAGAAAGAGAGAGAGACAGGGAGAGAGAGAAAGAGAGAGAGACAGAGAGAGAGACAGGGAGAGAGAGAAAGAGAGAGAGACAGGGAGGGAGAGAGAGATCCTTGTTAACACTTAACTCATACAAACCAGCTCTAAAGATAGTTTGTCGTCTTCATTGCAGTTCATTCTAAATGTTTAGTTTCATTTTTTTTCATTTTTAGTTTGGATTTTTCTTTGGCTTCGTGTTTAGTTTCAGCTTTAAAGCTCTCACTGTGCTACTCTGCTGTGAGGCCACCAGTGTCAAATGTTGTTGTTGTTGTTGTTTTGGCTTCATTAGAGTTCCAGCTTCATGCTAAGTGTGACATTAGCTTCAAAGCTAACCCAAGCCATGATATAGTCGGGGCCCAGGCTGAAATCTAACAGTTATTGGTACTTACCGATGAGTATTAAAGCTTCCCCTTCATTCCTGCAGACCATCTTAATACAGAGATGATTGCTTTTTCTTCTTCTCTTTCTCTCTCTGGCTCTAATCAGGAATTTCATCATGGTTTCAATCATGAAGTTGTTAGCTGCTAATCAGATGGACATTCCTCACAGTCTCATATCCTGCGGGGGCTGATGAGGACGAGTCCTCTTAAAAAAAAAAAGACTTTTATTAAATGTTGAGAGTCTGCATAAATCCCTCCTTTCATTTCTCAGCTCCTTTTTTTGTGTGTTCCATCTCCATCATCTCTGCCCTTTCCTCCCTACTTTTGAACCTCTCCGTCTCCTCCTGCCGACTGACGGCGAGCTGTTATTTAGCAAAGGGCAGCGGATGATTGACAGCTGCGTCGTGTGCTCTGACTTCTGATAAGTGCTGTCAAACAAACCCAGCGCTCAGCTTTCTAATTGTAACAAAGGAACGGAAGGAGAGAGAGCGGGGATCAGAGTTTTTCTCTTATTCACTTTCTTGTCACGCCTCCTGAGGAAATACAAGTTTTTCTTTTCCCCAATTACAGCAGCATTTTGTTCCTCCCAAACACACTCTCCCTCGGGGACGCAGTCAGACTGAAGAGGCACGCTGCAGATATTACATTTGCATGTTTCTCCTACGCCGTGTGTTTTTCTGTGCTCTTTGCTGAAGTAGGTCACTGTCACTGCAGTCTGCAGCTCAAAGTGTCTCAAAGTGTGAGAACAGAGCAGCTTCTATCTTTACCTGACGAGACGCCCACCAGGTGCTCTCAGCTCTGCTTCAGTGTTCAGGTTTAAAATCCACACAGAGAGTGTTAAGATCGATCAGGATATATGTAAACATGCTGAAAGTGACCTCATGCCCCCTGGTGGACGGAACACGACGTCAGAGAACTGTGGGATGTTGGCTGCAGGTTTTCTTTTGGTGTGCTGGTTCTGTTTGACGCCCATGACTTGTGACTTACCTCATTATTTATATAAGTTAAAATGTCAAACATTTGTGGTATGACATTTGGCATTAGGCGAGGCCGGCAACAAGTCCTTCAAAAAAATACTGTACTTGTATTCTGGGACAATAAATCCTCACTCTGAAGAAGCATGAATCAGAGTATTTTATTTTAATTTGGCCAACAGTTTGTGTAAAGACCAGTTTCCACTAAGTGGTCTGGTTTGGTTTAGTACAGTTTGGTACGATAAACCCTGATCTGACCCAACTGTCCCCTTACAGATCACTCATCACAGCAGTGTGATTCCTAGGAAGGTCTGCGTCTCCGAGGAGGAAAACAAAAACAGCTTTAACAGGATATGTAAACATGGTGCGTTTTTGAGTTCATCCTTTATTACCGCTGTCGCCCCCAGGAAGGACGGATCAGTTATTTTGATACCCTTCCCAATTTTTGAGAAATGACAATAAATGTGCACCAAACCGAACTGAATTGAATCGGACCGCTAGTTTCAGAAGGAGTTTTTGACATCTTAAGTCCAGTAGCCTCACACACGTTCATCTCATGTCACACACACACACACACACATATCTTCCTATATTCACACACAAACAGTCCAGTTTATAAATCAGTGCTGTGTGTGATTTTCACAGAAGAAAATTATTTTTGTGTCTGAACGAGCCTTAAACATGAACTGAACCTCTATGCACACACACACACACACACACACACACACACACACGCGCACGCACATGCACACACACAGACAAAAATGTGAATCCCTGAAGTGTGACCGTGCAGAGACTTTCCCCCTGAGAGTCCTCCATGTCCTCCGTGTCCTCTTAATTCAACTTCAGCATAAATTGAAGCAACAATCCGGATCTCATGTGACGCATTTCACGCTAACAGGCTCCTGTTTGACTAATAACACACGTGTTCACTCGAGTGTGTGTGCATACGTGTTCTGCTCAGAGGCACAGATTCACATCTGACAGGAAGCAAATGCTCGTATTAATATTTCAGTTTCTGCTGCTGCTGCTGAGGAAAAATGCATAATTGATGTGGAAACGTCCGACTACTTAATCTCTCTGTTTTTGTGAGGCCGCCAGCCTTTATATCCCATACATCCCCGTGTGTGTGTGTGTGCATGTGTGTGTGTGTGTGTGTGTGTCTAACCCTTCACTCTGCTGATTTATTGGATGTACACGACAGAGTGCTGAGTTTCCCTTCAGATTAGGATTGTCAAAATGCATAAGTTTTAAAACTTTAAAATGATTCTAGTAAAAATCGAACTATTTTGGTTTCTGTAGATCCACATCGGATTAGTCATCCCTCCTATGTCTCCACCCTCCTCTCGTCCTCTTCAGCAAATGAGACTCTCAGTGTCTGTGTCCATCTCTCATCCACCATCATTACCTCTTTCTCATATTTCTGTTTCTCACTTTTTAAATATTATTTATATCAAGTATTGCAATGTCCTTTAAAGAACCTGAAGACCTCCACAGTCAGTCTGTCAGTCCCCCCCCCCTTCTGACTCTGAAACTACAACTTGTTTCAAAGCAGTAATCTGGTGCATGTTGTTGGGAGTACTGTTGTTACCTATTTGACCATCTGTTATCTTATTAGTTGATGATCAAACAGGTGTTTTGTCAGTACGGTGTGTGTTTATCCTCCTAACCTGTAATTGAATGTCCTCGTTCTTCTCTCTCCCTCCCTCAGGCACCAGCCCTCTGGACAGCCCCCGAAACTTCTCCCCCAACACAGCTGCACACTTCTCCTTTGTTCCTGCTCGCAGGTGAGGCTCACAGAAACACACACACCCAGTGCTAAGGTGTGTTTAGAGCAGGGTCACACCTGGAAATCAGATCCTGTGCATGCTGAGTCCACATGATGAACAAACATGTAGATGAAGTGCACGTTCAGGCTGATTAGGAGACTGATCAGCAGCTCAGGCATCTGATTGCTGTGTTCCCAAAAATCCTGTCTGCAGCTCTGATTTTATCCGTCTGAAATATTATTTTAATATCAGAGGAGTAGAAGCTCAGATATCATGTTGGTACAAGAATGAAAAAAAAATGCAATAAAGCCCCTTTTTGTGTCAGACTGCAGCATGTGTCTAAACCAAAGCTGCAGCCTCGTTCACAGGTAAATTGTAATTTATTGGAAATTAAATTACAGGAAAGCTCTTAATTCAGACAGACGGTGAGGAAGTGTGAGGTGTGAATGGATGAGCAGCTTTAACGTCGACATCTTTGAAACGGTTTGAAACAGCTCGGTGGCGTCAGTGCCCGCTGAGCCTCCATGCTGCTGCTGCTGCTGCCCGATGAGGAGGGAGATGATCAGTCTGAGGCTGTCACTCAAACCGGGATTAATAAACCTCTTATCTGTCTGGGCTCTGCGCTCAGACAGTAATTACTGAGAGGAAAGGAGAGGGAGAAAGAGCGTGTGTGTGTGTGAGCATGTCTGCACCTGCACGTCCAGATTCCTGACTCACTTTAAATCCAACATTTTGTTTTAAAAAAAAAAGATGATGTTTGAAATCTCATTTAAAAGTTTCTCTGCAAGCCTGCTGCCTCTCAACCCTTCATTAAGATGATGATGTTCCCATGGTAACACACCTCCCCTGTCACACTAGACCTCTGGGGATATTTCCATGACAACATCATCACACATGGTTACGCAGCCTCGCGGCACTGCGGCAGCCAAAAAGAGCATTAGTGTCGATTTGAATTGGAAATCCGTCTCTGTCCGATTGTTGACCTCGGCGATGCAGCTGAGCAGCAGACACCAGGGCGGCGCTGACACCTTGTGGTGGAGGACGGAATTACATCTGAGTCTACAGAATTCTTTGCACAAAAGCAGCACAGTTTCTTTTTTCTGATGAGACATGGCGTTCTTTTTAGTTCATAAAATTCTCATTACAAACACGAAAATGTTAATTTGAGGAAGTTAAAACCAGTGTGTGTAGCTTTCACATCAACACTTTCCTAATGTTTATTAGATGATGTGACCGGCGCCAATGCACAACGCAACTGCTGAGCCATCTTTTTGGCTTTATTAGATCAGACAGCTGAAGACAGAAAAGGTTGGGAGTAGAAAGCGGGGGGGGTGACATGCAGCGGAGGGCCGAGGTCGGATTTGAACCCACAGCTGCTGCATCGTGGACTATAGCCTCTGTACATGGTGGGCGGGACATAACCTCTAGGTCATCCTGTGCCCCATATTCAACAGTTTTTGACGCCATATTCTACTGATTTACCTCACTTACCGAGCTGGGATTATTGGGGCCGATACTGATATCAATATTGGGGAGAAAAAAATATATCAGTCGATATCTTTCTTAGATCTGTAGAGAAAGATGGATTAAGATCTTCACATTCACAAAAAACTATTAAAAACATGAGATGTAGTTTGTGTGTGTGTGTGTGTGTGTGTGTGTGTGTGTGTGTGTGTGTGTGTGTGTGTGTGTGTGTGTGTGTGTGTGTGTGTGTGTGTGTGTGTGTGTGTGTGTGTGTGTGTGTGTGTGTGTGTGTGTGTGTGTGTGTGTGTGTGTGTGTGTGTCTGACAGCTGCTAACAGCTTCATATAAAAGAAAAACAAACCCTGTCTTGTCTCCCTCACAGTCACGGACACAGGGCTGACAGGTAACCTCTCAGTTTTCACCTCTTTTTTTAGCTTCCTCTTCCTGCCGTCACCTTCCTGCCCTCCGTCCTGCATGGCTGAGCGAGCACACGCTGACCCACATCAATAAGTCGTCCTGCAGACTCTCCTCTTTGAATCGCTCTCTGATCTCTGGAAGAATCAGTCTTGAGAAGCTAAAAGTAGGGAGATGGGTCATGAGGTGTTGGAAAAACTTTGGGGTGAATCAGGGAAGAGAATAAGAAACACCAACAGTATATTATTCTGAGAGTCTCATATCATCTCCCTTTGTGCCAGAGAGCTAAATTTTGAAGCACGTCAATGATCCAAAACAATGACGTAATAACTATCCTGTCAGCACAAATCCCCAGAATAGTGCAGAAGAATCCCTAAAACATGTCCTTCTTTTCTTGCTTTTGAAAAAAACTGAGTAAAACTTGAGTAGCCGTTATTTAACAAACCAAACTCAAGCTGGGTTTGAAAAGTGTAAATCCAGGTGTGTGTTCGGAGTAGACGGGTCAGGTTGTGACTCCATCATGCTTTATCTGTTGTTTTTTCAAACATGGGCAACCCTTTGATATATTCAAATGACTAATGATCACCTGATCACCAAAAGTGCCGATTGCTCCTAATGGGCTCAGATTGTTTATCTAAAAGTACGGCATGTTGTCAGCTTCAGAGCTTTAAGCTGTCTTTGGGAAGGCTCAATTACATCAATAGAATTATTTCACCATGAAGAGAGTGACATCTTGTTAAAGGAGCGGTATGTAACTCTGACACCTAGGGGTTAAAACTGGTACTGCAGTCTAAATTCTGCGAGAGCTGTCTCCCCCCCTCCTCTCTAGAGTGGATGCTCACTCAGGTCACCATGTGGTGGACTCTGAAGCTTCAGTGTTTATCCAGCTCTGCATGGGTCTGTAAACCTTTCTGTGTTCTAACCTCTCTCCATTTTTCAAAAGCATCTCCAATATTGATCCTAGTTTGAGCACGTTTCTGCTCGTGGAGCTTATTAGAAACATGCAGAGGCTTTTTAGGTCGGGTACAATCACTTCTATCTGAACCACTTCTCTTGACCGCTTCCATCACTGCAACACCTGTTGACCTGATAACTGCTCTCATATCTGGCAAACTGAGGGGCGGTTTGTCTTCTTCTGTAATGATGTCACACTTAATCGTAACAATCTGAGTCTGTCAGGGACAATAGTTGGATCGATTTCTTTGCAGCCATGACAATCTGCAGGAAAACATACAAACATTTTTGAACCTATTTGTCATTTAGAGTTGAAGATATTCAATCAAGCACGGTAATAATGACTCTTTGCCTGCACAGTCTGTGGACTCTCCTCATGGCTTTGCCTGTGCTTCTTGTTCTCCTCGTGTTTTGCATTTTCCCTGATATATCTGCATCTTCCTGACATGGCTGTAATAGACTCTGTGGTTATTGTTTTAAATGTCTTCATCTGTTTTTGTTTATCTCCTGCAGGACGGATGGCAGACGCTGGTCTCTGGCCTCGTTGCCTTCCTCTGGTTATGGCACCAACACTCCCAGCTCCACTGTCTCGGTAAATACCTTTAATATCATACCTGTAGCTCTGCAGATGAATGTATGTGTGGATCCCAAAACAACACAGAAATAAAACATTCTGCTCCCTCTGCCTTCACTAAAGCAACAAAGAGTCCAACTCCTCACTCTCCTCACTCTCACTTCAACAGTCCCTCTGGTCTGATCACTCTCCATCTCCTTTTCCTTCAGCTGCTCCTTCATCTCTCTCTTATTCCCCACTGTGCACTTTCTCGTTACCTGGCGCCTGTAGAAAGAGTCTCAGCACGCTTCAAAGGCTCTGAGCCGAGTCCACTGACTGTGGGAGCTCTTAACTCCACATAGACACTTCTAACATGCCAGATAGGTCAGTTCATTTAAAAAACGTTCAGAACATAAATGACTTGTTTGATGAAAAGGACTTCCTTATGTGCATAGTAATTATTTAAAGGTCCCAAAATTTACAGAAAGGAGGGTGAGAAGCTGTCATTGGGCGAGAAGCGGGGTACACCCTGCACTGATCGCCAGTCAATTACAGAACTAACAGGTGAAGTTACTCACTACAACAAAAGTAATCTGAGTAATGGATTACTTCAACGTGCATAGACCTAGTAATATCAGCGCATATCTGTGATGGAATAAGCCGATACCGATAGTCATGTGATATGCCATTATTATCAGCTGGGATATGAATCGATCAGGCTCTAATTTAAACCAATTTATGCACATTCCATCAGTAGTGTTAGCACTAGCCTCCTGGCTAACATTAGCTCCTTTTGGGCCTGCTTACATCCGTTACATTACCAAAAAACAAAAGTTCAGGGAGCTAGATAGCTTAGTGGTTATGTCGCGCCCCATGTACCGAAGCAATAGTCCTCATCGCAGTGGCCATGGGTTCGAATCCGACCTCGAACCCTTTGCTGCGTGTTATCCCCCGCTCTCTCCTCCCAACTTTTCCTGTCTCTCTTCAGCCGTCTTATCCGAGCGCAATAAAATCAGAAAATGCCCCCTCATCATTTAAAGAACTATCCTGATGGTGAATACCCCCCCCCTTATTGGCAGCCTTGCCAATCAAAGGCAGTTAAATGAACACAAGTAAAAAAAAAAAAATTTTTTATCTGAACTCAGTCAAGGATTTTCTGTGACTAAAACCGAACAAGCTGTGACCCTGAGCGGCGTTCATGAGCCTGAGTGTTTGTTTGAGTAACATCTGTCGTTATGATGATTTATTGTCTGCCATCTGTAGAGGCACTGTGTTAGGAATTAACCCGGGTGGTTATATTTAGTATAGTCTTTGTGGTCACATTGGTGGGATGATTTAAAGTCTCTAGTGGGTTTTTATGAGTTGAGCTATTTGACCTCCCACAGCTCGCCATTCAGAACTAAACGCTTCGTATATCAGGGTTAGGCATGAAGAGAGAGAGAACACCTCGACTCAGCTGAGTGAAACCCACCCTCCCCGTCCTCTCCCGTCCTCCCCTGACCTGGACTAGTCCCGGCGTTAGCCCCGCTCCATCCTAACCCCGCAGTAGCTCCAGTCCTGGTTGTAATCTGTGCTCCCTCTGTGCTCCTCCTCTCACAGTCCTCCTGTTCATCTCAGGAGAAGCTGCACCAGCTGCCCTTCCAGCCCACGCCGGACGAGCTGCACTTCCTCACCAAACACTTCAGCTCCGAGAGCATCACGGACGAGGATGGACGCCACTCCCCCGCCATGAGACCGCGCTCCCGCAGCCTCAGGTAGGAGCTCTGTCAAACTTATTCAACACAAACACAAACACTGCCCCGGTCCTGACTGTGAGCAGAGACAACCACAGCTGAGTGTTGGAGCTGATAGGGTAAAGAATCTCGTCTTCTGAAGGCCTGCAGCTGCGACAACATTTTTATTCCAACTCCAGTAGAAGTTTGTTGTGTTGGGGTAACGCATCAAAAAACAACACTCTACTGACTTTCATTTTGTAACGGCTCAAGGTACATAACACATTTTAAAATGAAGTGAATCAGTTATTTAGTTACGTCCAAGCAGCATCCTCCGGTGTTGAAAAATGAAGCTGATGCTGAAGTGCAAAATCCTGCAGTTCCTCGAGTGTCCACTAGAGGCTGGCTGCAGAAGCACAGGAAGTCACATAGACACCCATTCTAAAAAGCCTGTTTTTACAGCAGAGATGAACATGTTTACAGCCTGGTTCAAAAAACTAAATAGGTGTGATTAGTTATTATCATCATGTGCACACACTGTACGGGGGGTGAAACAGCTCGCCTCAGCTCCAGCTCTCAGCCTGTCGTTAGGTTGACTGAAAGTTAGACTGAGACAGCATTTCCAACATGGTGGCTGCTGCTGATGAGACCCCGGAGCGCCCTGCAGGAACAGACGGCTGACGGTTAACAGTTAATAAAGTCTCTTTATGTTTTAGACTGTATGACGATGTGACATTGAGATTGGCCTCTGAACTTTTTAACTTTTTTTTATCTGATGTTTCTTTTGATTGAACGAAAACAGTTTTAGACTTAATTCTAAACCTGACAGCGTCAATCAGAACTGAACATCATTGATCTTACACGGTGGATTAAACCAGACTTTATATCTTCCTCTTTCATATTTTCTGAGGCTGAATGATGAAAAACAGACCTGAAGGATAAACATGAATTAGCATACTCTGATACTGGTTGTTGTTTTTTTTTATTTTTATGTCAGCTCTGGGAAAGGTCAGAGTCTTCGCTCTGACATGTTCATGACAGGTTAATGTCCGCCCTGCTCCTATCAGCCACACTCACCTGCTCATCTGTGGATCCATCTGTCCGTCTTCTATTCAATCTGTCCGACTCCATCTCAACTTTGCCCTTTAATGGACGGTTTTCAAACTGCCTTCTGTGTCATCCCTCCTTAAACTTTGAGCATTAAAGATGTCAGTGTGGGACACCTATTGAGGAGCGTTCTGAGATTTGTAGCTCCTTATTGATCTGATTCTGGCATCAGGAAAATCTCTCATATCAGCCTCTGCCTGAAACGCTTGATTTCAGCTGCTGTCTCTTTAAGGCCCGCCTCCCAATGTGTCCACTCTCCTCTGATTGGCCAGCTCAGTTTGCAGTTGCAGAGGAGTTCTAGTTAGCTTTGGGTGAGCGTGTCCTACAACAGCTCCATGCTTTGCTCTGATTTGTCGGCAGAACCTGAAGTCTCTTGAAGTTCTCTTAACATCTCGTTCAGCAGGAAACCACGTCCGGGGATTACGCCAACAACTGTGTGTCTTGTGTTTTAAAAAATACGGATCGGCAGACTAGATCTCCGTTAAATATTCCTTTATGTACTTCATTTGTTCTCGTCTTAGTCCCTCTCCTCCACCTCGTGCAGCTTTTTCCTCCTCATCCTTTCCCTGACTTTATTTGCACACAGATATTGAATTCTTTCACCCTCTGAGTTGAAAGGAGGAGAGACAGAGTTGCATGCTGGGTATCTGATGAGGGTCCCACTGTGTGAGTTGATTGATGTCAGGCTCTGCAGTGCGGTCTCAGGTAATCCTCTGTCCCCCCCGTGTCCCCATGCGACCTCTTTCATTGTCTCCAAAATAAAAAAAATAAAAAAATGTTTCAGGTGGAGGAGTAGATTTTTTTTTTTTTTTTTTAAATGTTCCAGCTGACAAAACTAAAAGAGAGGTAATTACAGAGACAAAGTAAAGAGCAGGTAAATATTCATGGAGGTGACATTGAAAAGTGTTTGAGTGCCGTGATGCCCCCCCCCCCCCCCCATGTGCAGGGAGGATGAGCCTCAGCGGAGAGCCCCTCTTCATATTAGTCCAGCAGCAGCGTGTGTCATTAAAAAGCTCTTAGCGAGGAGTCTGCAGACCGTCTGCAGGTCCAGATAAATAACCAACAGAGAGCTTTGGAGAGGAGGACTCAGGAGGAGGGTCCAGGTTCAGTTTGGATCCAGATAGATAAAAATACCCCCAAAGGAGATAAACCTGTATGCGCTGAAATGTGAAGAGCGGGGTTAAGAATATTGATGTGATGACAGAGACAGAGAGATATAACGAGTGACTGAGAGCAGAGAGGATGATTGGACCCAGGAGGAGAGACTGTGAACAAATGAAAATGAGCTGCAGAGAACAATCATGCAAATGTTACGACTCTGCGATGAGCGATGACACTCGTCCTCTTTGATCATTTAGCAGCTCCTCTCTCTCTCTTCATCTTCACACCCTCTTCTTCCTCTCTCTGACTTTTCTTCTTGCACGTTCTTAGTTTCTTCCATTTTTCTGTCCATCCGCTCGTCAATGCATCAGAAATGAGCTGACCACATCCATCCATCACACCTGTGCAGCTTCCTACAGGCTGCTGCACCTCATTACCTCACTGTGTGGAATAAACCACACACTTCATTCTTCAACATGTTCCAGTGTGAGCAAACTCATTACAGCTTCTGTTTTTACATGATTTTAAATCTACCACAGAGCTGTAAATTCACCTGGACGGAGTCATCCTGACATTTGTAAAGTGTTACTGGTGTTGTTGAATGTGATCATAATCAGAGTATCTTTACTGTCAGTGTCACTCTCATGCCCGGTGATTTCAGACACTCTCTGACAGTTTGCACAGACACAATGGGGGGGGGGTGCCCAACTTCAAAATGAGTCGTGCAACTCTTAATCAGGTAGATTCTTACTAGGACTATCAAACTTTTTAGCGTCATATATCGCTAGAATTTAATAGTTAATTTCGATTAATTGTCTGTTTGAAACCCCCTTATTTCACATTTAAAAAATAAAATAGTTAGGCTTTTATTTTGAAGTTTTGTCCTGTCTTAAGCTGAGAGTACTTTACTTGCTGTGTGCTTTACAGTAAGGAGCTTCTGCTATAGAGTGAAGGTTAGGACATGACGTTAAGCACAGAAACAGGAAGTGGTTAGGGATCCCAAAGTGAGGTCACACAGCTCAAAGGAAAGGTAACAAAGGTCAGTGTGTGATGTCATAAGGTCAATGTGTGATGTCATAAGGTGGATATACTTTGGACTCGTCAGCTGAGCTGTCTGAGAGTTTGTTAAAGTGAAATGAGACATTCAAAGATGCAGCAGTGTTCTTCTTTTACATCACTGAGACTACAGGGAGACACTGAGGACCTCTATCTACGGAGAGCCTGAAGGGACAAAATAACATGAGATTAATGTTGATTTAAAATCAATACATTCATTCGCAATGAACTAGTTAATGCTGAAAGCCTTAATCTTTACTTTTTGCAGTTTTTAAAATGTCGTATGAAAACAATAACTGAAAGTTGAGATGCAGACAAACGGAACAGAATTCATGACACTAAAGTTTTACCAAACTGTCAACATTTCAGGAAACTTTTACTTAAAATGGCATCGATGGAATCAAAATTGTCATTATGGCATGTTGAGGTTTGCAGTAATCATCTCACACACACACAAACACACACACACACACACACACACACACACACACACACACACACACACACACACCTCATCCTGGTTCTGCCTGGCTCTCTGTCACGGTCAATTAGGCCTCTCATTTCCCGAGTCGCCTGCCTCAGTTGAGATGCATCAATGTTATTTTTCTTCTCTACCTCACACACACACACACACACACACACACACACGGCCCCCCCCCCGCCTGCCTCAGCGTCACCATCTGATTCGCTGTCTGCTCTGATTTACTTCAATTACCCTCTCAGCCAATGAGCTCCTCTGCATCCTGAGTGTCTTTTGCCATGTGTGACTTCACCACTTAGCTGCTCACAAAGAAAAAAAGAATACTCTCATCCAACGACGTTTTAATTATCCCATTCTTTCACACCCTGGGGCTGAAATGCATTTATAAGATATTTCACCTCATAAATATTTTCTGAACTATTTTTTATCTGCATTCAAAGAACAGAACTCTCCCACAACTTCCTCCAAAGCCTCGTCTCCAAGGTCGTTTCTCAAAATAATGACGAGGATGATTTTCACACGGAATGCCGCGAGGCGATTTTTATTTCCCATTACAGTAGAAGTAGAGCCGTGTTGTAATTAGCCTTTGTCTGGCTTTCTTCTGTTATTCATCTCGGGGATTTCACTTTGGACCTCGGCTGCTGCTCGCTATGAACACAGAGATTTATTTTAATAACGGCTGAGGCTGCTGAGAGCCACGAGCTCGCAGGAAGAATAACAGAAGAAGAAGATATTCAGTGAAAATTAAAGAATGTACATAACAGCCTCGGGCGCTGAATCCATCTCTGCCAAGGCTAACCTTAAAATACTGAGCCGAGCAGCAGAGGCAGCGCTTTGATTGATTCTTCTTTTTCAAGAAACACGAGCATGAACGCAGAGTTTTGAAAGTTGAGCTCGTAGTGAGCTGTTGAGTGTGCGGGCTCACAGTGGACGTGTTTTTAAGGGTCACTCAACTTGTGTGATTGAAAAGTGAAATTCACCTGCAACAAAAGAGCCGAGCTGTGGGACATCAGGATGGAGGAAGGAAAGTCTTAAAAACATCTTTCTGACATTCTGTCAAATAAGAAACCTGCAGTGAGGAGCGAGTTACAGACAAACAAATCATACGACAAAGCTGTGTGTGTGTGTGTGTGTGTGTGTGTGTGTGTGTGTGTGTGTGTGTGTGTGTGTGTGTGTGTGTGTGTGTGTGTGTGTGTGTGTGTGTGTGTGTGTGTGTGTGTGTGTGTGTGTGTGTGTGTGTGTGTGTGTGTGTGTGTGTGTGTCATAATGATAAACGGCCTCTCAGATGTTCAGCAGGTGTGTCACGTTCAGGCTGCTCTCATTCCTGTTAGGCTCTTAATTGGACTTTGAGCTGCCGATGGATGAGTTAAAGGATGACCTCATCTCACAGGTCACGTGTGCCTGTGTGTGTTCTCGTGTGTGTGTGTGTGTGTGTGTGTGTGTGTGATGACTCATACCGATATATGGAGTCCAAAATTCCTCCTTTACGTCACCCATGTAGTCTAAGGTTTTTTTTTTTTCTGATGCCGTTCTTTTATTCTCAGATTTTATTATAAATAATAAATTGAATTATAAACCCTTTATTGTTATCTACTCTCTATTTTTGAGGTTTTTATTGTTAAATTGTTTGAACATCTTTCTGATTTCAGGGTCACGCTACAAACACAAAATATTCTTGATTTAAAAAAAAATAAAACTCAATAAGGAAACAAATCTCCGACACTGCTCCGTTTGTCTCTCCTGAGTAAAATCAAAGAAAGAGGAAAGAAGCTCCGAGGTCAGCAGCTGTGTGAATGCAGCCTCAGAATATAAAAACATGATGATATTTCTCGTCTAGGTGTAAACCGTTCCACGATCTCAGCAGGTACATATAGACACAGAGCAGCAGCAGTCATGGAGGAGTCTGATGTTACTGGAAGAAGATGCCATCGCCATCTTCAAATCATTTGTGTGGCAGTTTGAATCGGATCACAGCTGATCGCAGCGTTTAGGTCGATCCCCCTCGGTTCAGGCGGCACAATGGATAAGAAATGTATCTAGATGTACTACTGCTGTGCAGAGTCTCAGTGAGAAGAATACAGCGTTTAGTCGCCATGGTGACCGGCTCTACAAACAGGAAGACAATTCAGTCTTTCAAATATATATTTTAAGGTTTTTTCCCGACTTTGAACAAGAGCTCGTGAAGTAGCTCTGCAGACCTGAAAGTTGAACAGACGGATTATGTGATAAAATTTGTAACTCCTGATTAATCCAAAATGAATCTGTCAGATTGTCGAGATTACATCACTGTAAAGAGAAATGGATCTATGAGATGGAGTATTTTAAGGTGTGCCAAACATGAAAAGTGGAATTGCAATCTCACCAGATGTGAGATGTTTGCAGAGAGAAATGGAGAGAATGAATAATGCAGAACGCTAACATCTCCTCAGACCTGCTGGAAATGACACCCCTCCTCCTGTCGCCCTCTCGTCCTGAAAGTGAGCCACAGAAAGGTCAAGGATATTGCTGCTGTCGCTGTTTGGTGTTGTTGTAGCGCGAGGTAGGAGGCGGGGGGGGGGGGGTGATGTGTGATGGAATAAGAAAAGAGTCCCGGGAGAGAAGATGGAGTCTGCAGAGTGCGAGGAGGGATGGGTTGATATTCTGGACTGAGAGAGACGTCGCTGTCAGTCTGTCAGGTCATGAAACCCCCCGAGAGCTGACAGACACTCACACACTCACAGAGTCAGCCCTCACTTTATGACTGACACACACACACACACACACACACACACACACACACACACACACACACACACACACACACACACACACACACACACACACACACACACAGCTACCTCTGTGTGTGTGCAGCCGTGCAGCTCCAGAGGTTGTCATGGTCCTCAGTTTACACATATGATGAAGACCCCAAGGTCCTGTTAGTGAGTTGTGACCGCCATGCTGCTCTTATTCCCTCTGCGCTCCGATGACCAGAACAATCCCGTCTGTCACATCTGGGGGGGGGGGGGTCAGCAGAGGAACACGCATCACAGAGTCCTACTACTCTGATCTCTGGACTTCTCTGGACCTTCATCTCCTTTCTCACCCTGAAAGATGAAATACAGAAATAGAAACACATTTGTTTATTTATTTGGAACGACTTGAATCAGTCAGATCTGAACTCTTTCCCAACATGAGCTCACTCATCCTTACTTTGTGTGTCTGTGTTGGTTTCAGTCCTGGACGCTCACCCATCTCCTTCGACCATGAGATTGTGATGATGAACCACGTTTACAAGGAGAGGTTCCCCAAGGTGTGTACACAACACACAACACTTCCTGTACACACACATTCAGCACGGGTCTAGAACACATTTGCAGGAGATTGCGGGATAATAAACAAAGACAAATGAACGACAAAACTAAAGAACAATATGATGTTTACCTTGATTTTTGAATCTTCATTGCTCGAAGGTTGAAAACACATTCTGATAAAAAAGCATTCCCGGTGTAGAGCTAACAACAAGATAAGATTAAGATCTTCATTTTTGTAAAATTAGGACCAATTTGAACCTTTTTTGAGATAGAAGTTAGTTAGCTAGGTTAGTTAGCTAGGTTGATGCAGTCTTGAATATGTTTGGGGGGCGAGTCCCAGACATGGGGGGTCAGCTTGGGAGAAGGCACTCCCCCCATGTCTGGGAGGTGTCAGACTTTATTTGTGTCTCCTTGAATATTTATCTGTTTATATTTGTAGAGGTAATCCTGAGTCTCATTTTGTCTCAGTTATTTTTATAAATGTAAAATATTATCTCAGAGCGACAGGCACATGTATGCACACCTGAGGGATTATCTCTAATATATGATATTATCCTGGGCAGACACATTTGTTGGTCATGTCTGCCTCTCCATGTGTGAGGTATATACCTCTCTGACTCATCCTCTATCTCACCCCCCCCTTCCCCTAATTGCCTCCCTCCCCTCAGGCGACGGCTCAGATGGAGGAGCGTCTGGCTGTGCTGCTCTCCTCCTCGTCCCCCGATAGAGTCTGCCCGCTGGCCGACGGGGTCCTGAGCTTCATCCACCATCAGCTGATCGAGCTGTCCAGAGACTGCCTGGAGAAAAGCCGAGAGGGCCTCATCACCTCCCGATACTTCTACGAGCTGCAGGAGAACCTGGAGAAGCTGCTGCAAGATGTAAGTCCCAACAAGAGTTTTCTCACTATGGTGCAAAAAAAAAGCAACAAGCGTTAATGCCCTATTGTTTACGGTGAAAAGGCAGACTCAGAGGGCAGAACAAACACCTAGCTGTGGGAGTGTCACCCACCTGGGGGAGGGGCTACTGCCCTTTGTGATGTCATGAAGGGAAAATCTCCAAACGGCCTGTTTGAGCACACATTTTCTGATAAGTGGAGCAGGCAAAAGACGAAGAGGATGGACTTTTCTCATGATTGGTTACAGAACATGGTTACCTTTTTGCTTCATGTTTCTCAATGATCCACCAACAGGATCCTGACGATCGTAAGTGAAGCTGTTTACCAGTCATATTTGATCTTTGTTTAATTTCTGTTTTGCTTTGTCTGAAATCTCTCCATCGTTATTCCTTTTCTAATAAACAATCAGCAGTTTGCTTCCTCTGTGAGCAGAAGCTTGATATCCAATCTGCATCATTTTGCATCATCAGTGACTGATGTTTCTCAGTCTCAGACAGAGCAGAGCATCATTACATTTGAAATGGTTATGAACAAATAAAGGGATCCCGGGAGTAAATTCTGCAAATCCTTTATCACCATTTCCCAATTAGAGCCTTGAAATTAACTGTGCAAGTGGAAATTAGTTGGCAGGTTCCTGGAATTGTTATGCAAATGCATACTAATTAAGAGAAAATAGAGACAGTGTTCAATTCTTAAACTTTATATGAATTAATTCAAATACTGCCAAAAGTGGAGGTCACCTGGACAAATAAAAGGTGAAATATTGACGATTCCACAAATACGAAAAGCCTTCAATAGGAAAACATGACCACTCTAGTGTCTTTCCCCTCCTCTCTAGAGTCCATGCTCACTCAGGTCACCATGTGGTGGACTCTGAAGCTTCAGTGTTTATCCAGCTCTGCATGGGTCTGTAAACCTTTCTGTGTTCTAACCTCTCTCCATTTTTCAAAAGCATCTCCAATATTGATCCTAGTTTGAGCACGTTTCTGCTCGTGGAGCTTATTAGAAACATGCAGAGGCTTTTTAGGTCGGGTACAATCACTTCTATCTGAACCACTTCTCTTGACCGCTTCCATCGCTGCAACACCTGTTGACCTGATAACTGCTCTCATATCTGGAAAACGAGGGGCGTCCAAAACGGCCTTGTGTGGGGGGTCGCCTTAAAAGCGCCTACCTTCTCTGGTCCAAACAAATCCAGATCATTCAGGAGCAGAATCTAAAGTTAGAAGGAGGACATACTGGCTGCTGCATTGTTGTCAGAGAAGCCAACACTTCAACATGTTTCCTTAATGTCTGATCAGATAGTAAGCTCACTTGGACAATTTGATAACTATTACAGAGAGTCAGCGTCTTGTTTCTGGTGTTTTGTCTTCATGATGATGGTTTCTTCTACACCTGGACTTATTGTTGATGCATGACACCATAATCAATTACATCAACAAATCATTCCCTTTCTGTCTCCGGTGATGAATCAAAACATTCTCCTGGACGTGGATGAAGACATCATGACTGCAGCACGTTTGTGGTCACGCTCAGTTAACCGAGGAACAACTCACAGCGTGACGCACTCCCCCCGCCCCCCCCGCCCCGCACACTCATCATGGTCGAAAAATCGTCAGTGCCATGTGATGTCACGCGACCAAACATGACACATAAAAGTTGTCTAGCTTCACACATTCCTCCACAGATGTTCTGCGTGTTTACGGCCCGATGTGCTGACGGCAGCGCTGCATTATGGGACGGTTTGGATCCGTTTTGGTGTATTTAAGCATCTTGTTTCTGCCGCTCTGTGGAGATGTAGATACATGTGTGTGTGGCGGTGGTGACATCTCTATTAGCTCAGTTTGCCTAGCGCCTGGGGGCTGACATTATGGCTCCCACCGGCCTCTTATTGACCTTCTGTTCTGCTGGGACACACAAACTATCTCTCAATCACAGACGCACACACATTTATTCAGGCACGCACGCACACACACACATGGCCTCCCCGATTTTAATTTCACACTCCAGCAGTCACCGGGGGCTGACAGATGACTCTCCCAGACGTGCAGGAGGGGTGAAGGAGGTGCAGTCTGAAGGGGTTTTGGGGACGGGATGGGGATTGGTGGGGATTCCTCTGCTTGTGATTGGCCGGTGGGCTCACAGAGGGGAGGGTTGGATGTGTGAAACATGTTGGAATGCTTTTGGAGGGTGCGAGAACTGGGCACATCTGGAGTAAGCTGCAGACGCCGAAGCTGCAATGCGGGTTGCCGATTCCTGATGATGACATCACCAATTAGGCGGCGTTAGGCAGGTTGATTTGGCAGGCAGCCAAGTGCGGCAGCAGGTGGAGGCAGACGTGCAGAGCAGAGGAGGAGGATGAGGCCGTGAGCAGGTGGACGGCGGTGTGGACACAGCCTCCCCGCCTTGCGTTGTTTTTTGGGATTTCCTCGGTTTTTATTTTAGTTTTTTGGAAAGATGTCTCGCGTCTCGTGGCAGAGGAGGCTGGAGGTGGAGGAGGAGGCGCTGCAGGAGGTGATATGGAGGAGCGAGTGGAAGGTGTTCACTCACTGGGAGGAGGAGGGAGGAGGAGGAGGAGAACGTGAACTTAACAGTTGAGTCAATTTCAGTTTGATTGGTCGATATTTGTTGGCTTCCTCAAAGTTGTGATGATGAGAAACTAAAGAAAGAATCATTTCACTTTCTTAACTTTCACTTTGACTTCACTTCAGGCTCAGGACGATACGAGTCATGACTCAGAGCTTACTATTCAACACGTTGTGATATTCATAAATTAATTTAAATCGGTTAGATCTGGATTAGTTATTTTTAATCATAGTCCGACCTGAAGGCTCTACTTTTAGTTAAATCTGAATCCAGCTTCAACATTTTAAAACATCAGTCAAATCATTTTTAAAAACAGCGTGTAAACTATTTATAAAAGAATGAAAGGGGAATGTTTTTGACTTGAAGACTCGCAGCACTATGGCTCCCAAAGTGCATAAAGGAACACAACGTTTAGAGTCCGAGCGGGTTCTTCTTCAGGTGCTGTTTAAAAAACAGGCTCAGGTTTTATTTATCAAACAAAGTCATGGAGTCTCACCTGTGTGTATGGACGTCTGGGTGGAGAAAATGAGACTTGGAGACAGCTCTACCTGACCCCAGGAACCTGGAGTTAGTTGTAGATGTTGAATATCTGATTATCAGCACCTGAGTAAGTGATGGGCGTGTGTTTGTTGACTTTACAGTCCCACAAACAAATCAACATGATGCTTAAGAATGTTTCTCTTGCATCTCTAAGTGTCTGGTTTTGCTTTAGCTGCTTTTCTATAAGAAGATTAGCTGCTTTTATTAGAATGAACTGGGAAGAGCAAACTACTTGTGCCTGTTTCACAGCTTGTGTCGACCCACATAGGGATAGTCCAAAAAGTATCTGAGAGGTCGCTGACGGAAACATGAAATATTGAAATCCTCTTGTAATCATTGAACTGATGGCTTTTTAATAATTGAGTCGTTTGAATGAGTCATCTGACACAGTGAGATATGATAGTTTAATGGACTTAAGAGGGATGCCCATATTTGGTCGTTTCCTGTTGAACAGTGTTTCCCGTCCTTGCTGCTGGAGTTTACTCTCTGAGGTCTGTTGTCGTTGTTTCTGTAGTTCCAGTCGACGGGATCCCGACTGTGATCTGAACCTGGTTTGATCAGCTGCTCAGTTTCATTTTGTTGAGTCTTCAACATGTTCAAGAAGTGAGAAGTTATTATCGTCCCTGTCGTGCTTTCATTTTAAACATGAGTTTAACAATAAGATCAGACCTGGGAGGTTTGTTAAAACAAGTAGCAGAATCTGAGGAAGGTTTTACCATTTAGAATCAGCAGGTCCTGAGGAAAGCTAAGGCGTTACTGGTCACCCACTTCACAGTGAGTTTGACCTTTGACCCTCAGATTGTCATTTCAGAGCTCCTCTGAGGAAAACTAAAAGACTCCAGGTCTCATTTGTCTCCAGTGTCATAAATAAATTAAATAGCAATTAGCCCTTAGCTTGCTCTTTTTGCACTTTAACATTTGCACACCTCCCCATTACTCACTAAATCGTGTTGTGTCCTGATTTTTTATCTTTGTTTTCATTTAGATTGTACGGTGAAGTCGTCCTTGTGTTTGTTGTCTTCTGTGCATCATTTTGAGAAAAGGTAGTGGTGATTTCTTTAAAAGGAGTAGTGAATTTATTGTTCTGATGTTTATAGAGATTTCATATCAGGTGAGTTTTCCTTTGTGCGTCCAGTCCTTCTCGACCTGACCCGTCTTCTTTGTCCTCCTGTATCCATCCACTCCTTTATTCATCCATCTATATTTTCTCTCCTCGTGTCATGACCCCATTACGGCGCTCACAGGAGGCCGACTCACCTCTCCTCCTCCTCACCTTTCATCTCTCCTCCACCTCTTCCCCTCTCCTTCATCTCCCTCTCCTCGTCTTCTCTCGCTCTCCCTCATCCATCCCTGTCATCCGGACCCTTTAGTGACCTGCCTGGCTGTCGCCATGGCAACCTGCATCCAGGCCATCCCTTGCTGGACCCCCTGGGAGACCCTGTTAGACTCCTGCGGGTCACCTGGGGGCAGAGAGTGAAGGCAGAGTTGCTAACTCAGCTCTGGTGATCCGTCACCGAACGTTCGATCGTTCACTCTGAACTTTCAGATCCAGCTGCAAACATCTGCTTTAATCTGCTGGACTCGGGTTTAAACATCACCTGCTGGGAGAAGTGATGAGGTCGCCCTCATAGGCTCTAACAGGTGACGTCACCTTTGTCCTGTTTTTATCAGCCAGGCGTTGTGCTGAAACGCGTCGCTCTATACGCTGCTGCTGAACTCAGATCAAACATACTCTGAAGGACATTTAGCGTGATGACTTTTCTGTCTCTTTTTTTAAAATCTTAAATATCATATATTATTATATATTATATTATATAATAATATATGATATTATTTTGAGTATTTTCAGAGTCAAATGACCACACATCCAATCCGCCATCTGGACACATTTTGTCTTTAGGGAAGACGACACCAAACAAAAAGAAGTCAAATATAAACACTGCGGGAAAAACTGTTTGCAAGAAATGAAACTTATTTATTTTCTGCTGTTTAAGAGAAGTTCATTTCTACTTTAAAACTAAAATGTGTCCTTTTCATTTAGAGAGAAATATTCAATAAATAACCACAAAATAGTTCATCAGATATTCACTCTTTCATTAGAAAACAAATCCCAGCTTTAGTAGTTGAGATTATTTACAATATAGAGACCTCGTCACTATGAGGACAAAGAACTTAAACAAAATAATCGTTCATTAACCATAATCGAGGTCAAATGTTCAATTAATCCTGATATTGATTTGAGGTCGTATCGCCCAGCCCTACTCACTGTTCATCTTTCTTTCTTTTTATCACTGGCCCTGGTGGCACAGTGGTTAGTGCACGCGCCCCATGTATGGATGCTGTAGTCCTCCAAGCGGGCGGCCCAGGTTCAAATCCCGCCTGTGGCTCCCCTCCTGCATGTCATTCCTCTCTCTCTCTCCCTGATTTCTGACTCTATCCACTGTCCTATCTCTCCATTAAAGGCACAAAAAGCCCAAAAATAAATCTTTGAAAAAAACTCCTCTAACATCCAGTTTGCTCTGCAACGTGTAAAGTCCGTATTCACGTCATCTCAACGACGTCAACCACAGTTCAACTTTTTTCTTTAGGCTATTCACTAAAACGCGGTCCAAAACTATCGATAACACTTACTGATTATTGTCCTCCATGTTTGTTTCCTCTGAAGTGTCGTTTGACGGTGAGACATCCAGTGTGATTCCCGGTGTTCGGAGTCAGGACTCTGTTATAGTTTGTTGTTCTGTTCAGGTCATATCACTGCTCTCCACACATGAACAAAACTGTTTCATCTATCTGTTTGTTGTGATTTGTGCGGTTAGTCAGTCTGTGTTAGAGGTTTCAGCGGCTGACGTTGAGGCAGCAAAACATCGGTGAACTATCGCATAATTTTCAGAACAAGCTGTGTAGCGCCCTCTGCAGACTCATCCTGGTCTTACTCCAACACACCTTTACCTCATGATCTGACACTTTGAGTTGTAACACTACATGTGAGTTTTTAAAATGGGGATCGGCTTTAAATGAACTTTAAATATCTTTGGTTGTAGACGAGCTTACAGCCATCAAGTGAATAAGTTTGAGAGCAATTTAAAAATAAAGCTCTTTCCATCCCATATTAACGTCAAAACATTCAACTCCAGAACACGACATTAATACAATTTAATACACTCAGGATACACTGAGATCTGCAGAGTTAATTCTACACACACACACACACACACACACACACACACACACACACACACATGCATACCGCCATGCATAACACATTATTTATTCTGTGTATCCTCCAGAGAATGTCTATCACATTAGACATGCAGAGTGGATATACAGTCTGACACACACACACACACACACACACACACACACACACACACACACACACACACACACACACACACACACACACACACACACTCTCGTACAGTCTGACTGGTTAATTAGTTGCTGCTCTGTGGGATTTCTTCGCTCGACTGCCCATTACTCACCGATCTCACACACACTCTCAGTCTCAGTATACACACACTCTAATGCATATTTAGCACATACAGTACATACATGGACGCCCCCTCCCCTGCAGGTTTCATTACAGTTATATATAATTCAGGAGGGGGGGGAGGTCAGAGCCCCCCAGTCCTCCCACGTCTGTCATTACGGCCCTGTCAGGCTAACAGCTACGAGCTGCCGGCGCTTTGTTTATGAAGCAGCAGCTCGTCTGTGTTCGCCTGTATGACACATTCATACACTACATACATTATAAATACATACATTATAAACATACACACACACACACACACACACACACACACACACACACACACACACACACACACACACACACACACACACACACTCTCTCTCTAACCCCCCTGAGAATGAAGCATGTTTTACAGTGGGTGGTTTAGTAATTGTTACAGCTCCCACTTTGCGCACACACACACACACACACACACACACACACACACACACACACACACACACACACACACTTCACTTCCACCCCATTTCTTCCCGGGGATCAGTGTTCGCTCCAGATGTGTTTCCAGTCAGTTACAGGGGATTGTGGGTAAATTGCTCTGTCTGCACGCTGACAGACATTTCACGGTGGATATCGGGGGAGCGAGGCGGCGGAGGTGGCTCTGATTTAGATTACCTCTCTTCTCGGCGTGTCGGTGAAGGACGGAGGGACTCCTCATTCTGTTTGTCCTCAAAGTGCTCATTCGGCTTTGTTTGTGAAGGACAAACACAACACGGGAAAACGCTCGCCCCTCGCCTCCAAGGTCAAAGACGATCTGAGGAAGATAAATGATTAAAGATATAATTAAAGATAATGAGACAATGTTCTTATGAGGGATCATTTATCTCTCACGGAGCATGTAGATGCATTAAAGGTTAAGTCCTGAATTTTTAATCACTCAATCTCCACCATACAAAACTCCAGCGCTGTGGAGTCGTCCCGATCGATTTCTTTGTTCATATATTTTGAGACTCTGTTGTTTTGAAATGCCTACTTTAGACATAACAAAATATGCACGAAATACACAATAACACAATCAAATGAAGCAGCAGTGGACAACAATAAAGTATCATCTTGAAATGCTCTGAAATCTACTAAAAAAATGTTTTAAAAAAAAACATTTAAAGATCACTTATGATGCAAAACACACTTTTCCATGTTCCTCTAACTCTAACATGTGTCTCTAGTCTGTCTACAAACCCCCCAATGATGAGAAAAGTCCATCCTCTCCATCTTTTGCCTGCTCCACTTTTCAGAAAATGTGTGCTCAAACAGGCCGTTTGGAGATTTTCCCTTCATGACATCACAAAGGGCAGTAGCCCCTCCCCAAGGTGGGTGACACTCCCACAGCTAGGTGTTTGTTCTGCCCTCTGAGTCTGCCTTCTCACAGTAAACAATAGGACATGGAGCGAGAAAGACCGAGACACCCAAGCCTTTCCAGAGAGGGGGTGTGGTCAGACACAGCTCATTTACATATTTAAAGGTACAGACACAGAAACAGCCTGTTCTGAGCAGGGCTGAAATAGAGGGGTTTATAGACATGATCAAATACAGGATCAGAGTGGATTTAGAACAAGAAACTTCACACACATGTTTTGAGGAGCTCTGAGACTTATTTACACTGAAGAAGAGGAGGATATGTGACCTTTAATTTCTGTGTTCAGTTTAAATCTTCTCTTTTAACAACCGAAAGCAAAGGTGAAATATCTTCTGTCATGATGCTAAGCTAACCCTTCTCTTGTTTCTTTGTCTCTGTGTGTGCAGGCTCACGAGCGCTCAGAGAGCGTGGAGGTTACCTTCGTCACACAGCTCGTCAAGAAGCTGATGATCATCATCGCCCGCCCAGCGAGACTGCTGGAGTGTCTGGTGAGTCACAACGTCCTGTGTAGCCGATCCTAGCTGTCATTGGACGAGAGGGGTGTAAGTAAGGTTAAAGGAAGAATGTGTGACATTTGATCCAGTAATTGTCGCTCTTGAGCACCAGCCCTAAACCAAAACAAACTGCTGTTAGGCCACACCTCCTCCATACTGAAGCCTCCACTCTCCTCCAGAGACACACCTCCAGCACCCCCTCCTCTCATGTTCACATGAAGGAGTTATCGATTAGAAAGCACCATAATTAAGAACCATCAAGAACAAGCGGCGGACAAAATTGTCTGTGCCTGTGTCCTGCATTGTTGTGTTAGCATGCTAATGTTAGCGCTCGAACTGTCTGTAGTTTCCAACATCTGAATCTTATTTATTAAGTGAAGAAATTTGCTTTTAACTACACAAACACATGACATCAGCCCTGCATCTCCTGCGATGGTTTGGAGCGTTGGTTGGGCACGTCATCAGAAATTAGCACTACGCGTTAGCGAGATGCAATATGCATATAACCACTAGGGGCAGTGTAGAGCTGAAGGTGATGAGACCAGAAATGAAACATCAGAGAGACCAGAGAGAGCCGCTACAACAATGGAGGAAAGTTAAGAAGAAAAGTTTAGAAGAAAAGTCTGCAACTACCCGCACTATGATGTGTCATGGCCGTTGCATAGCTGAGTTATGTGGTGCGCCCTCTAGAGGAATCCTCCAGTAATGCGTGTCGTACATCGGCAAGTATATGAACATTTACGCTCAGGACGCAGCTCGTTGTTTACGCTTACATGTGGCTCAAAAGCGAGAATATCTGAGCGCTTAATCCGCCTCGTCCTGCTTGGTTACCCTCAGCAGTTACACGGAGTCATTTAATGTAATTTATTCACATTTACAGCACGCTGTAAATTAAACAGTCTGAAGGATTGCTGAGAAGAATGTGAGCAGTAGCTTCTCTCCACGCTCGGCTAATAAACAATTTAAAGCTTCATGCTCCCTCATGTGAGATGATTCAAACACAGCGTTTCATTTATGGACTTCCTCTGAGGAGTTTTAAACCAGCCCCATTAACACACACACACACACACACACACACACACACACACACACACATTAACACCTCTCAGCTTTTGGTGCAGGGTGTTTTGTATATGTGTGTGGACTCTGAAGCAGCTCCGTCTGTTTGGTAGGAGACAGGGCACATATGGAGTCACACAGGTGAATCCAACCAGGTGTGAGCGCAGAGAGAAGACAAAGGAGGAGGGAGGAGATTAAGACTGAGTGAAGGAGAGAGAGGGATAATTGGTCGGGCAGCGGAGTGGGAGGGGGGAGGGAGAGGAGATGGGGAGGATGCCCCAGTGCTCACATCGTCAGTTTTGACTAATCACATGCAGCTGAAGGTGTGACAGCATACAGGATGGGTTTTATAAATGGATGTATACAGATAGAGGAGGGGGCAGGAGTGTGTGTGTGTGTGTGTGTGTTTACATGCATACTGTATGCTGCAGAAATGTGTGTCTGAGTGTAACAGCAGCAGCTTGTCTTTGTCAGAGGACACAGGAGCTGCAGAGTGCTGTGGTGTTGTGACGATAACATTTCAATACAAAGAATTATAAAGAAGACAAAGCTCACAAACATGTGACATAGAATCACCAAAACAACATGAAATTCTCTCCGAGATGGAGTGACGGTAGGATGAACCGACCTCCGATAAGAGGAAGAAAATGTATGGATGGTTTGAATCAGTGATAACATGATCGGTTTGCATAGAGAAGCACAGTATGTCAATAATCTTTACCAAAACATAGACGTCAGGTAATATTCAAATGATGTCATCATCTTGATGTGGATGGATGTGTAGTCAGTCGTTGGAGCGCAGCGTGTGCAGAAAGTCGACCTTGTTTCTCCACAGTCAGAGACAGAACAACAGCTTCAACACTTTCAGGGTGTATCTTTTTGAATTTCAAAGAGAAGTGATCAGCAGTTGGTGGTCATATCAACAGGAGCACGTCATCCTGTGTGGATAGTTTCCAGAGTTTAGAATCTGGATTGCAGTCTGAATACTGACACTCAAAACATAAATGCATGTCTTGCAAATGGTTTAAATTGTTTTTTTTAAAACGCTTGAACCTCCTCCCGTCTCCCTCTCTGCAGGAGTTTGATCCCGAGGAGTTCTACCATTTGTTAGAAGCAGCAGAGGGCCATGCCAAGGAGGGACAGGGCATCAAGTGCGACATCCCCCGATACATCATCAGCCAGCTGGGCCTCACCAGGGACCCCCTGGAGGGTAACACCACCTCAGAATCAACTCTCCACTTTGTTTTATTTTGTGTTTAGTTAGACAACATGAAGATGTTTTTCTGTTCATCCTGTTTGTCATCCTTGACGTCATCTCGCCTCTTGGGCTCGGCGTGCTGACTGATGATTTGTGTGTCTTGTGTAGAAATGGCCCAGCTGAGCAGCTATGACAGCGGGAACCCAGAGACCCCCGAGACTGACGACTCGGTGGATGTGAGTACATTATCATATCATTATCACACCATCTCAACTCAAGGGATCCCACACTGCGGAGAATTTAGTTTTTAATGATGCTCAAGAGACAGAAAATCGACGGTATTCAAAAAACACTATTATGACATAAATAAACGTTATGCACTCTCTTCACTGATACAGGTACAGAGATTCATGCATATTAAGGGTTAAAGTGTTTCCCACAGAATGATGTGATACCTGGGTGGTGGAGCTCGTCGCTAAGGGGGGTGTCCATTTTTTAAATCTTATCTAAGGGTTTCTTTTAGTATTACGTTTGTGTTTTTCCCTCTAGTTTAATATAGTTTTTGCGACAGACAACTTTAATCTGCTCAATTTATCCACACAGACACAAACACCAGGAGTACGCCTCGCGTTTTGAAAAGTTGAGCTTGATATTTAGTTATGTTCATGTGCAGCAGCAAGCAGCTGTCCCTGAACATTATTAAAAGGAAGCCATGAGAAGCTTCAGATTTGATATGAGCAAGGCACCTCAAAGGGTGCATAACGAGAGGGATATATGGACATCTGACTCTCTCTCTCTCTCCCCCTCTCTCTCTCTCTCCCCCCTCTCTCTCTCTCTCTCTCTCTCTCTCCCCCCTCTCTCTCTCTCTCTCTCTCTCTCTCTCTCTCTCTCTCTCTCTCTCTCTCTCTCTCTCTCTCTCTGTCTCTGTCTCTCTCTCTGTCTCTCTCTCTCTCTCTCTCTCTCTCTCCCCTCTCTCTCTCTCTCTGTCTCTGTCTCTCTCTCTGTCTCTCTCTCTCTCTCTCTCTCTCTCCCTCTCTCTCTCTCTCTCTCTGTCTCTGTCTCTCTCCCCTCTCTCTCTCTCTCTCTCTCTCTCTGTCTCTGAAGCTGATGTTATTCTGCTCTCTTGGTGGATAGAGTTAGAATTCAGGGAGAGAGAAAGATAGAGTGGGGAATGATATGCGGGGAAGGAGACACAGTTCAGATTTGAACGTGGGCTGTCCGCTTTGAAGACTACAGCCTCCATGCATGGGGCACACACACTAACCACTGCGCCGCCAACGCCCCGGAAAGTTTTGTTACTTTGCACGGAGCTGCCGAGGGCTCAGACACAGTTTAATATCATATATTATTATATATTATTATATACTCGAATAATAGTGCAAAAGGAAACGATGTAAAAGTCAGACTTTTTCTCACCTCTGACTGCATTTCTCTCAGTCGTCGTTCAAGTTAGATCATTTTTCATCGATGTTTGGAATAAAATATAATAACTGTAATTAGTAAAGAACATTTGTTACTCCATAAAAACAGTTTCCTCTTTTTCACTCAATGCTGATAAACGTGCTCTCTCTCACGGCCATGTGTTTCAGGGTCGAGGACAGAGCGTCCCTGCAGCTCCACCTCCAACTAAAACCAAAACCCCTCGAGAGGAAGACTTTGAAAACATCAAACTCATCAGTAACGGAGCCTACGGGTGAGAACGCTCACATCACCCTCTTTTACATTCTCATATTTAAGGTTGTTGTGAATCTGTCAAATGAAACTAAAATGCATCGATGGATGTTTTTGCACTCTCTCCGTGTAGCGCCGTGTTCCTGGTGCGTCACAAAGAGACCCGTCAGCGTTTCGCCATGAAGAAGATCAACAAGCAGAACCTGATCCTCAGGAACCAGATCCAGCAGGCCTTCGTGGAGCGGGACATCCTGACGTTCGCTGAGAACCCGTTTGTGGTCTCCATGTTCTGCTCCTTTGAGACCCGGAGGCACCTCTGCATGGTGATGGAGTACGTGGAGGGTAAGATGACCACACTCTGCAGGAATGGATTTGTTTTTATTCAGCAGTGGTTGAACATGTTTTAAATGAGGATTCATCTCCTGCAGGTGGAGACTGTGCCACGCTGCTGAAGAACATTGGCGCTCTGCCCGTGGATATGACTCGTATGTACTTTGCAGAGACCGTCCTGGCTTTAGAATATCTGCACAACTACGGCATCGTGCACAGAGACCTCAAACCCGACAAGTAAGACACAAACACGACGAGTCTGAGTACTTCTTACTAAAGCATGTTCTGATAAATACATTTCATTCATGTACTCTGCACAACTGGATCTGAGGTGTAAGCGCCTGTGTCACTTAAGAGTCAGTAACCAACGTCGGCTCCAATCATTTCCACTCCTCTCGTTAAACATCGGGTCTGTTTTTAAAGAAACTCTGTAGGCTTAATATTTGTTTTTATTCAAAGAAACCACAGTAAAGACATAAAAGCAGTGTCAAAGAATCCTGTCCTGCCGTTAGCTGTAGCTCTAGATCCCTGAAAGACGAGGCAGATTACCTTCTCCTGCACTGTTGATAAAGACTTGTGTAAATGTGTAATTCTTGTGATGAAAGATACAAGAGAAAACTCAAAGTACTTGGTCTTTTTCCATTCTCTGATTTTTTGAAATTTTCGAAATCCAAAACAAAAAACGCCAGCCAGAATTTACATTTTCAATATTGAAGTTTCTTTATAAGCCTTCTTGATTTTGAACGAGGGCTAGGGCCCGACCTATATGTGATTTTGAGGGGCCGAAAAAAAAGCTAATACCGATCTATCGGCCGATATCTTTCTTAGATCTATGCTCAATCAGTAGAGTTAGATAGATATAGATAAACACATGGTCACTCAACTGGAAACTGTGCATGTAGGTGCATTAGAGCTGCATGATTAATCATGAAAAGATGTCGATTCTCACATACAAGCGATCTCATTTCAGCGTGATGGCGATTCTCTTGCTCCTATTTCCCTCACAGCTACACTCGCGATCATAACATTAAAAAGCTGCAGAGCTGTATCACATCTGTGGCCTGTTGGCACGATGGCGGGTGTTGCTGGTCTGTGAAAACACTGATCTGTTTTGGTTTTGTTAATAAACAGGAGCTGTCTTTGCAAGAACTTAAAAGGGTCTTTAGAATATTTCATCTTTTGCGTCACTTCAGTGTCTGTTTACATTTATCTGTATTTCTGATCAAATGGTCGGTGTTCCCTCCTGCAGTCTTCTCATCACCTCCATGGGACACATCAAGCTGACGGACTTTGGTCTCTCAAAGATCGGTTTGATGAGTTTGACCACCAATCTGTACGAAGGACACATCGAGAAAGACACCAGAGAGTTCCTTGATAAACAGGTACAAGAGCCATCTTTATTTGTATAGCGCCAATTCATAATAAATGTTACGTCATGACACATTACAAACTAAAATGACAGCTGCTAGGAAATCCTCCTGAGTAACTTCTGCACGCTGCTGTGATTGGTCAGATTTAAGTCTTCCAGGTAAATGCTTTTGCAGGGAGAAAAAAAAAACGTTCTAAGATCATTTGTCGATTGTTGTGATTGGCCTCTGCAGGTCTGCGGCACTCCAGAGTACATCGCCCCGGAGGTGATCCTGCGTCAGGGCTACGGGAAGCCGGTGGACTGGTGGGCGATGGGCGTCATCCTCTACGAGTTCCTGGTGGGCTGCGCTCCTTTTTTTGGAGACACACCAGAGGAACTGTTCGGTCAGGTCATCAGCGGTGAGTAGAAGTGACCACGGGGTTCTGCTTTGTTTGAGGGAACGTTTGACTCTGACGCAGCGTTAAAGAGCGATCGCTGAAACTTTAGAATAAAATCAGACTCTGAGACGAACAAAGGGCCTTCTAGTGTTCCACCCAATGAAATCCATTCAAACTAAACACTTTAGTGCTGGAAGAGCCCGATCACACAGACGAGTCGCTAGAAAAGTGTCGCCAGCAGAACTGAAGATTTCCTCAAAGCGCTCTCGCCATGCGCTCTTCTCTGCTGCTGTGAGACACATTTGTGGGATGCAATTAAAGATAAAAAAATTCAACTTTTCAGCCCAAGACTCGGAGTTGCAGCGCCCGTCAATGTCAGCCAAAGCAGCCAATCAAATAAAGTAGGAGGCTTTACCTCGGCTTTTTATGACATTTCCCTGCTCCTCCTCGTCTCAGAGCAAAGCAACGGCGAGATCTATACGTTTGCTTGAATCTATTTATTCCCCCTTATTTAGGCGTTTTTCAAGCTGTCATTGCTGGGACCGGGTCCAGCCCCCCACGACCCCGAGCGGGAAGAGCAGTATAGATGGATGGATGGATATTCAGTATTTACACCTTGGATTATGATGGATAGATTTCAGCAGGAGGTTTTTGAAACACAAGCTGCAGAGCATACTGATATGATTAATTTAAAAAGCTCTGCATTACATAAAATGTATGCAGCATTTTATAGCAGCCACATGTGGTGGACAGACATATTAAATCGAGCGGAGTGGAGTTTTCTGAACTTGCGAGCTGAATACATCAACACCTAAAGAAAGTCTGCTGGTAGAGCTAGATCTATACGTATATAAAATTGATGGAGTGCTTAAAGATGGATGTTGTGTGCTTCCCTGCTCCCTGCTCCCTCGTGGGCGCGTTGTTAGTGCGTCTGTATGTTATGTGAATGTTCGATGTGTGAGCCCGAGGGTTTCCTCTCTCTCGCTCACACACCTGATCAGAACAGGCCGAGACGTTTCTCTGCAGAAACACGGGGCAGCTCAGCCTCGACTTTCAGGGAATCAAATCAATTGTGATGTCTCCTCCGCGTTCATTTGTCCTTTGAGTCTCTCTCTCTTTGAAGAGAGGGCGAGTCGATGATCATAAACCTGCATTGATCCCCGCTGAGTCTGTCTCTTGATATCGATGTTGTGAGGTCATAAAGAAGTGAAGGCCTCGATGTGTTTTTATCTGCATCCTGCAGGGCCGTCGTTTCCACATCTGAAACTTTATGTTAAAAAACAGTCTGACAAATTGATGTCGAGCAGGAGCGACTCCTAAAAGACAACTTAAGTTACCGAGAGAATCTTCAAGTTTATGATCAGCTGGGTTTGAGTTTACTCTTTTAACTCTTTATCTCCTGGTTTATGATTTCTGCATCTTATTTGTGCAGCCGTCTGTGATGTTTAATTTTTACAAACTGCGACAATTTAGAAATCTGAGAACGAGACAACAGATGCTTATTGAGGGCTTAGCATGAGTGTACGCAGATATGGCGTTGCAGATATGGCGTTGCAGATATGGCGTCTCCACCTCGTTTCCTGCAGCAGAAGAGTGCAACATGTGCTTACCTCTGACTGCTGTCAGCCTGTCACTGCCACCGCTTAGGACGAGGACTTATATTTCATCCTTTCATCACTGAAAGACAAAACTTCAGTTTCTTCATCGCTCCAGAAGCTCTCATTGCAGCCGCCATGTTTGTTTTGCTGATACGTAACTTGGCTGAGGCGGCGCCTGTGCAGGTAGTCGTCAGCTGTTAGAAACCGTGGTAAGGCGTAGACATGCCACAGTATCCCGTTTTCTTTTAGAGTCCTCCTCCTAGCAAAATCTGGTTTCTCAAAATCATGATCAGAGCTTTTTATTTCATTAAATTTGGGACATTTGTTTTCCTGTGATCCATCCGAGAAACACCAAGATGAATTAAAGAGGTCATATTCTGCCCTTTTTGGGGTTCATATATTTAATCTATGTACTAAAGTATGTTCACAATAACTAAAGTTCTAAAAAGTGTCTGTTTTCATGAACTGCCGCTCCGTGCACCGGCTCTCTTCTGACTCTCTCTCTAAGGCTCTGAAGTGACCACGTTCAGAGTCCCCACGTGGGCCAAGTCTGATCTGATTGGTCGGCCTGTCGGCTCTGCCGTAATTGGTCAGTCGCTCAGCACAGTTCTCGGAAATGTCACGCCCCTTTTACCATATTGGGAATGCAGCCACTTTGGCTCCGAGGGGAGCAGAAACATTAGCACCTTAGCACTACTGTGCTACCACAGGCTACGGCATATCGTGGGCGTGCTACAGAAGTTAAGGGGCGTGCAACATGAGCTGCTGGGCCACAACGAGCCAATGGGCTTAGATCAGTGATCTCACACTGACGAGACGCCACACTGACAAGTTTTTATCAAGGGGGGCTAGAACCGAGCGTTACATGCAGCTAATGCTACAGCTAACAGGAGGACATAGGAGAAGCGTTTCTGCGGACTTTGAATTTTTGCAAATAGATGTGACTAAACATGCACAGGACACTTTGAAAACACACTAAAGAGCAGATAAAACCAGAAGAAGAAGACTATGGGACCTTTAATGGAGGTAAAAAAAACAATAGAAGAAGAATGTACTCACTGTGGAGTAGGGATGATGGCCATACTGAAAAACTTTCAGTTCCTCTGCAATCAATGCTACTTGTGTATGTTTAACTATATGTATATATCTTTCTGTATTATACTTAGTCGAGGGAAACATGAACTTTTTCAGTTTCCAGGAAGTTTGATCTCTTTTTCTTCTTGTCCTTCTTCGTCTTTGTGTTTGTGTGTCAGATGAGATCATCTGGCCCGAGGAGGAGGAAGCTCTGCCTCAGGAGGCTCAAGATCTGATCTCCAAACTGCTGAGACAGAATCCTCTGGAAAGACTGGGCACAGGTAACACACACACACACACACACACACACACACACGGGCGGGTTAGGATGTTGTTCACATAGCAGGAAAGTTTCTTGTGGAAACCTTCAGCTTCTTGTCGTTCTTGTGTGAGAGTTTGTTCTGAGTCTGTTGACGGCGCACGCCAACAGGATGCTGAGTAGTTTTTATCCTCGCTGTTTCCCCCCCCGAGCTGGTCACATCTGATGCTTTGGTTCCAGGTGTGTCTTCTCATCTGTTTCCTCTCTCTCTTTTCATCCTCGCTCTCCACAGGTAGCGCCTTTGAGGTGAAGCAGCACCCGTTCTTCACAGAGCTGGACTGGAACAGCCTGCTGAGGCAGAAGGCCGAGTTCATCCCCCAGCTGGAGTCTGAGGACGACACCAGCTACTTCGACAGTACGGCTCTCTATCCTCCCTCCTCTCTCTTTATCCTGTACTCAGACTGCCGACCTGACCACTGACTGTGTGTGTGTGTGTGTGTGTGTGTGTGTGTGTGTGTGTGTGTGTGTGTGTGTGTGTGTGTGTGTGTGTGTGTGTGTGTGTGTGTGTGTGTGTGTGTGTGTGTGTGTGTGTGTGTGTGTGTGTGTGTGTGTGTGTGTGTGTGTGTGTGTCTCTCTCAGCTCGCTCTGATCGGTACCACCACGTAGATTCAGAAGAAGAGGACGACACAAACGACGAGGAACACGTAGAGATCAGACAGTTCTCCTCCTGCTCGCCTCGCTTCAGCAAGGTACCACACACACACACACACACACACACACACACACACACACACACACACACACACACACACACACACACACATCTCTTATTTTCAGTCGTCCCAATACACACAACGGGACGGCCCCCTCTCAGGAGCGTTAGTGAATGATGTCTGACATGTTGTGTGCAGGTGTACAGCAGCATGGAGCGTCTGTCCCTGCACGAGGAGAAGAGGACTCCTCCTCCAACCAAACGCAGCCTGAGCGAGGAGGGCGGGGATCGCCTCGACAGCCTGAGCGGACTCAAGTCCAGAGATCGATCGTGGCTGGTCGGATCTCCTGAGATGTGAGTTTTTTTTACAGACATAGACGTAGAACTCTTCTGACATTAAAGGGGACATATTATTAAAAATCCACTTTTAGTGTTGTTGAACATATATCTGGTAACCTGAGAGTCTACTGACCCACAACATGTGAAATAAACCCATCCAGTCCTTTGTTTGTGGTCTGCATAAGTCTTACAACACAGAGAAAATGCTCTGTTTCAAATGTGCTTTCCTTGTGATGTCACAGTGGGATTCTGGTTAAAAAAAAAGTCCCCTCCCCTCCCCTGGTATCTCCACCCATGGACTCCACCCCCAGCTTTGAACAAAACTTTTGAGCAGGTCCGCCATTTTTATTCTCTCTACAGAGGAGTGATGTCTACTGGGAAAACTCAGGGAGCGGGGTCATTGCATTTAAAGAGACACACACACCAAAACGGAGCGTTCTGAGAGAGCTGGTTTCTACAGGGTCACAAACCTCCTCTGGTGCTTGATTCATGTTATATTTTGACCAAAGCACAGCACAGATGTTTCATTAAAACACTTTGACTGAAACTTTCTTTGAGGTGTTATTTTATACTTTTGAGAATCTAGAAATGTCTTTATGGGATGTTTACATGTTCTTTATCTCTTCCTCTGCAGCCTGCGGAAGCGTCTGTCCGTCTCGGAGTCGTCCCACACAGAGAGCGACTCCAGCCCGCCTCTGACCGTCCGCAGACGCTGCTGTTCAGCCATCATCGAGATGCCGCGCTTCGCCATCTCCTCGGAGGAAGAAGGAGGCCAAGGTGAAACACGGGAAACAAACATTAGACTTCTAAGAGTTGAAGATAATAAATGTTTGAAAGGTTTTGAACCTCTGGTTTCTGATCCGGCGGTCTCTCAGGTGCGGCAGGAAGTCGTAAGAGCCCCAGCCTGTTGGGTCTGTCTGCAGTGAGGGGCCCGCGCTGTGACGAGCTGCCCCTCGCCATCCCAGAGCTCCCTGTGGAGAGAGAGCTGAAACTGGACGAGTCGCCCACCACGCCGGGCTCCACCTGCAGCCGGCTGAGCAATGCCACGCTCACACGTCAGTACAAACATCCAAATCACATCTTCAACTTCTCTGTGTCTGAAATAAAAAAAACATCTCTAACTTCCTGTTTTACTGCAGCGGGGAGTTCAGGAGATGTTTGTGATCGTGGCGGCGTCCGAGGAAACGGCGGTAACGGTTTTGCCGCTGGAGCTGCTAAAGCTTCAGGCGACAGCGAGTCTCCGTCGACTCCGAGGGCGATCAGCGACCTGGCCATCCGCAGAGCTCGCCATCGTCTGCTCTCCGGGGACGCGGACAAACACGCGCCGACGACGAGCTCCAGACCGCTCAACAAGGTCATCAAGTCGGCGTCTGCGACCACGCTGTCGCTGATGATCCCTTCAGGTCAGTGTGTGTGTTGCGTTCGGACCTCATCAGAAAAAAACTGAAAAATGAGTTTCTGCTAATACTCACGGTTCTGTGTTTGTTTTCCCAGATCACCACGGAGCCTCCCCATTGGCCAGCCCGATGTCCCCGCACTCGCTGTCCTCCAATCCCTCGTCCCGGGACTCCTCCCCGAGCAGAGACCTGTCCCCTGCCGTGACCTGCTCCAAGCCCGCCATCATCATCCACCGGGCGGGTAAAAAGTACGGCTTCACCCTGAGGGCCATCAGAGTGTACATGGGAGACTCTGACATCTACACCGTGCACCACATGGTCTGGGTGAGTCCGAGAGAGAGGAGGGATCTCTAATGTAGAACCGGTGGAGAGGAGAGGGAGAGCTTCTTGTTGTTGACAGAAGATGGCAGTAAACAACAACACAACATAAACACACCTAACACCCCCTTTCTCCTCCTCTTTTTCCTCGTTCTCCCTCAGCACGTGGAGGAGGGCGGTCCGGCCCACGATGCGGGGCTGAGGGAGGGGGACCTGATCACCCACGTCAACGGAGAGGCGGTTCACGGTCTGGTTCACACCGAGGTGGTGGAGCTCATTCTGAAGGTGCAGACACAAACTTTTAATCCCTCTGCTTGTTTTTTTCAGTTACCCTCTTCTTAGAACCAGACAAGGTTCAGTAAAATCATGTGATTATTGAGGTGACTTTTGAGCTCTAGATCAGTGCTTCCCAAAGTGTGGGTCGCGGCCCCCTGGTGGGCCGTGTGGGTACTGCAGGTGGGCTGCGTAAAGCCTTCCACCAATTATATACAAAAAAATATCATATGATTCACCATGAGTCAACCCTTTAAGTGATTAGTAAGGCGTGTCATGACTATTCATGGACATAATGTTGAGTAAACTTGTGTCTATCTTACCATAATATCATGTTGTCATGTCCAATAATTGACCCTAACTGAAAGTTTAAGCTGTAGTCATAATTTTTATTTTATAACGGGCCCGGCATACTTTTGTATTTGGGCTGCGGCAGTCTTAAGTTTGGGAAAGGCTGCTCTAGATGACTAATAGATATAAATGCTCAAGCTGTTTCTGCATTTATCAGCACCAGACAGAAGTATGTCCACTAAGAGTTCTTCTTTCTATCACTGACGAACTCTGATTGTTACTCTGAGTGTCTGTTCTTCATCAGAGCAGCTTTTTTTCTTCACAGAGATCAGAGAGTTTCTACTCCATCGCTTCATTTCTTGTGTGGCGCAAACATTGTGTTTGATCTGAAAAAACCAAAGTCCTACTTTAACACAAACAAACCATCGTATTGAGGCAGATACAGACCAGCAAAGTCAGTGTTCTGTGAGGTTAAATCACTGATTTTGTCAATGGAGTCTGGTGGTTTTAAAGACATTGATCGACAAATACCTTCCTTCAGTTTAAAATAGTAAAACTTCTGCACAAGTGAAACGGATCGTCCCAGTTTACACCGAGTGTGTTCACATGGACTTGAGTATCCTGGTTCTGAGTCTAAAAAAAACTCCGATCAGAACCAGGACACTCTATGTAAACACATTCATATGACATGTATACCTGAGTGAAGTGAAACAGAAACTCATCTTTTGTTTTCCGTCTGTCGTCCGTCAGAGCGGTGCCAAAGTGTCCATCTCTGCCACCCCGTTTGAAAACACGTCCATCAAGGTCGGCCCCGCCCGAAAGACGAGCCACAAATCCAAGATGGCGAGACGCAACAAGAAGACCAAGAACAAGGAGGGACAGGAAAGGTGAGAGTCAAACATGTGTTATCATCAGGTGTGTTCCCACTAAACAGTACTGGGGACTTTTTGAAGGGAGTTCACTGAGAACTACACGCCATCGCCATGGTGACGGCTGATGTGAACCTGAAAGTGAGCGTGTTGTTGTGTTTCCTCCGACAGTAAGAAGAGGACGTCTCTGTTCAGGAAGATCACCAAGCAGGCGTCTCTCCTCCACACCAGCCGCAGTCTCTCCTCTCTGAACCGCTCTCTCTCCTCCGGGGAGAGCGGCCCCGGATCGCCCACGCACAACCTGTCACCGCGCAGCCCGACTCAGGGCTACAGGTCCACGCCAGACTCGGCCCACTCAGGTGACTGACACACCTCACCTGCACTGAAATAATTAACTTAATTCCTTGAATGTGATGCCACAAAACAGGAAACACTAAAATATCAGTAAATACCAATAAATGAATTTCTGTTCCTCTTGTCTCAGTCGGTGGAAACTCGTCTCAGAGCAGCTCTCCCAGCTCCAGCGTCCCAAACTCCCCCGCCTCCTCGGGTCACATCCGGCCCAGCTCCCTGCACGGCCTCGCCCCGAAGCTGCAGCGTCAGTACCGCTCGCCCCGACGCAAGTCAGCGGGCAACATCCCCCTCTCCCCGCTGGCCCGCACGCCCTCGCCCACCCCTCAGAGCAGCTCGCCTCAGCGCTCGCCCTCCCCCTTATCCGGCCACGCTCTGGGACAGTCTGCGGCGGGTCAGTCGTTCCCCGTCAAGCTGCACTCCTCCCCTCCCCTGGCGAGGCAGATTTCTCGGCCCAAGAGCGCAGAGCCTCCGCGCTCTCCGCTCCTCAAGAGGGTGCAGTCGGCCGAGAAGCTGGCCTCCTCGCTCTCTAACGCCCCCTCCTCGCCCTCGGGGGTTCCGTCGGCGGGGGACAAGAAGCTGGCGGTGGGAGCGGCCGTGGGGAGTCGGAAACACAGCCTGGACATCTCACACTCAGATTTTAAAAAGGAGATCCTGCAGAGAGAGCCCAGCCTGCAGAGCCTTCAGGTAGGAGTCACCCCCCCCCCCCCCCCCCCGCTCTGACATCATTATCTATGCTGAAAATATTTTGAATTTCTTAACACATTCTGTCTTCTTCCTCCCCGACCTTCAGGAGTCGGCGAGCGAGGGTCTTCTGTCCTCGGGGGGACGCGGCGTGGAGAAGGGCAGCTTGCACAAACACTCGTCTTCATCCAGGAAGTTGGGCCGTCAGGAGGGGGACGGCGGCCTCGGCTCAGTGCCGGGCTCTCTGGGTCTGACCCCCGGGAAGAGCAAGCTGAAGGACAAGCTGTCGGCCATCAGGCAGGACCGAGCCGAGCGGAGGGAGTCGCTGCAGAAACAAGACGCCATCCACGAGGTCGACTCATCGGAGGACGAGACGGACGAGGGTTCGGAGGACAGCCAGGACGGACGCAGGGGGACCACCTTCACCCCTCCTCCCCCTCTGCTGCGGCCCACCACTGTGAGAACGGGTCCCGGAGGCACCCTCCCCTCACTCTGCCTCTCCCCCTGCACCCCCCACGCCACGTTCACCCACACAGGACCCTCCTCCATAGGCAGGCCCACTCCCTCACACACCCTCCCCTCAGTGACAGAGGCCAAGCCCACTCAGAGCGCCCCCTTACCCGGACTAAAGGAGACAAGGTCCACTTCTGAGGACAGTTCAAAACCAGAGAGGAACGTTTTTGAGCCGAGCGGGACCACAAAACCCACTCAGAGCCCCCTCCCCTTCTCCACCCCTGGCAGTGCTTTCATCTCAGTCAGCAAGGACACTTTTCTCAAGCCGAGTCCTCCACAAGACTCCAAAAGTCTGAGGGGGAAGACAGCGCCTTCAGAGCCCAGGACAGAGGACCGACCCCCGGAGAGAACCACGGCCCCCTCTACCACCATCACTACAACGACAACAACCACGACGAGCGCCACAGACTCCAGAACCACCACCTGCACCACAGACTCCAGAACCACCACCTGCACCACAGACTCCAGAACCACCACCTGCACCACAGACTGCAGAACCACCACCTGCACCTCAGACTGCAGAACCACCACCTGCACCACAGACTGCAGAACGCCCGACGGCCAGGAGACGCCCCGTGCCTCCTGCTCCTCCCCCAGCATCCCCAAAGAGAAGAAGGAGGCCGACAACCGGAGGCTGTGCGCCGCTGCAGCTGCGAGTCTGAACGCGTCGCCGTCGTCTTCTACTACTTCCGGCTGCAGCTCCACGTCCAGCTCCCCGGTGCCAGCCCCTGAAAGCAGCGTGGACAAGGTTGTTTCCCAGCTCGCGACGGTGGCTAAGAGCGTTCTGGGTCCAGTGAAACTCATCACGGCTGCAGACAAGAGCCAGACGGAGCAGAAACAATGCAAAGGAGGCGCGGTGGAAGTCCAAACATCCATTCCTGTTTCATTTCCCAAACAGACCCCTCAGCTGCCTCGGCTCTCAGAGTGCACAACCAAACAGAAAGCTGAGCAGGTGTCCTCTTCTACCACCGTGCAGAAGTCTGTCAAACCCACAACCGCGCTTTCATCCTGCAAGGACGCCCCAGAGCCGCGTTCTGCATCAGGGTCTAAGCCTGTACCTGCAGCAGCGGCTCAGCCCGCCCTCAACACAACCCCGAGCTCCTCTGCAGCATCTGAGCCACAACGCAAGAGGCCAGAACCCCAGACCACAACTGCCACCATCACCACTACCACCACCGCTGTGTCCGCCTCCTCACAACAAGACAAAGCATCCAGCAAGAAGACGTAGCAGCAAAAACAGACTCAAAGAAACCAGAACAAAAAATGTACAAAAAAAACTCACACAAACTGCATGTCTGCAAGACGACATACACGGCACTAAGCAGAGAGTTTGACTGAGAAAAGCAGAAGATAGCAGAGGCAGATGTGGTCGTCCATTCCAGCTGTTCTGTGCTCTTAATGTTCATGTGAGTTCTTTGGTGTCCTGACTCTTCGGTTTTTCTGCTTTCAGACGAAAAAGGAGTTTGCCTTCTTTTTTCCATCTTTCTGCAAAATGTGTACGGGGGCTAGAGATAAAAATGTGAGTGGTCCATGCAGGAATGATTTTAAAATATGTCACACACACACACCTCTCTCTCTCTCTCTCGCTCTTGATCTTCTTGTGCTGCCTCGTTACTTTTCACCTTGATGTGTGGCAGACAGATCAGGACGTGCCTTACTGAACACACACACACACACACACACTCCTTCCCTCTCGCCTTTCCTAACAACTTCTCCTCAGCAATGAAACAAAAAAGAGAAAGGTTGTTAAAGTGCAGGAAGTGTTGCGCAATCTGTGTACATGCATCACAGTGTTTTTAATAGAGCTAAACCTGCACCCAGCTGTAGTCAGATATCATGAACCAGTCCTGCAGCTGGACACAATGGAGACGTATTCCCTGCAGGCCAAGCTTTAGTGATTCAAAGAGTCCTGAGCTTTACTTCAAATCCCAACATCTGGATGACTCTCCTTCATTCTTGTCCAGCTGTGATGACGAGTTAGATATTCCTCTTTATTCTACTGCAGCTTGTACTCCAAGCCTTTTTGAATGCCTTTTCTAAGGCGTTCATTTCAGCCACCTGCCACAGATTTGACTGAAGCATTCTCATATTTTTCATGCTAAATTCACAGTTCTGACATTAAGTATTCCTTCCACTCCAGCTTCTTAAAATGTCTTAAAATCAGATTGATTATAAAAATGAGAACGTCTCGTTTCAAGATGTTTGTGATGAGAAATTAGACACACTAGTTTCTGCAGTGCACACACACACACATTGAGCTGCAGAATGCGTACTGAGCATGCTCAGACTGACCTCATCCTGTTGGACCTCCACCTCTTTCTTTCTGGCCCCCCGTCAGCCACTGAAGGCTGCTCTCGTTTGTATTTCTTATCTGGACCAACTTGCTGTGTTGTGTTGCCTCTAATCCTGTAAACTTCTCCGACTTGACTTTGTTTCATGTGTATGTGTGTGTGTGTGAGAGTGTGTGTGTGTGTGTGTGAGAGAGTGTGTGTGTGTGTGTGTGTGTATGGGTGTGAGTGAGCGAGCGTTAGTTCATTTGTGCATGGTTATCTGTGTATATATATAAGAGTATTTAAAGTTCTGTTGTGCATCTGTTTTATACCTTGAGTGTGTTTGTGTGTGTGTTTCTTTTAGGATTAACGGGACGTGTGTGTGTGTGTGTGTGTGTGTGTGTGTGTGTGTGTGTGTGTGTGTGTGTGTGTGTGTGTGTGTGTGTGTGTGTGTGTGTGTGTGTGTGTGTGTGTGTGTGTGTGTGTGTGTGTGTGTGTGTGTGTGTGTGTGTGTGTGTGTGTGTGTGTGTGTGTCGGGCGTTGAGCTTTGCACAAACACACACAAAAAAATCACTAAGAGGAAAAGTGGATGTTTGACCTCTGACTGTCCCGTGTTGGGGGTCGGACTCAGTTCTGTCGGGCTCTTAAAGGGGGAGTCCAGCGTGTTCAAAAACTGGGCTGTGATTTAGAGATTCATCATCAGAAAAACAAACCAATCAGAGGAGCTGTAACGACTGTTTCTCTCGATGGAGTCTGGTGTCTTTGAAGGGAGCGTTTTAAACGACCGTCTGTGATTCTGACTCTCAAACACAGAGGTGTATCTCTGTGGTCGTTCAGACTCCTCCTCCTCCTGGAGCGTCAGGTCAGGACTCCAGTTCTTCACAGAGTAATGACAGCAGAGCCCTGATTGGATGATCTGTTTTTCCTTGATATATTTGTTCCTTCCTGATCACATCCCGGATTCTCTCTGTCTACATATTGTTTTATGTTTTTTTGTTTGTTTTTTTGCTTCATTTAAAGAAGAAAATCACAATCTGAGACGCACAGTGATCCCGGCCCGGGTCAGAGCGCTCTGATCTCAGCTTAAGGTTACACCCACTGTGGTGATCTCTCTCTCTTATGTTTACATGTTGTTGTTGTTTTTATTTGTGTTTTTGTGAATGGAACTTGTTGCCTGTAGCAATCAATCCTCCTCTGACAGGCGGGAAAGAAGTGACGCCACGCTCACAACGTGGACGATTCAGCGCACACAAAACGTCAGAATCATCTCACTCGTGTGCTCGTGCAGGTGTAGGGACCAGATCTGTTCGTCCAATCAGACGACGGCGAGGCTTCTTTCTGTGGTGGCGTTCAGTTTGCACAAGAGATTTTAAACCTGTCGCCTCGTGGTGTCGTACCTGCAGGAAAATGAGACGACTGACATGTTTCTGTCACGCTGCTCGACCACTAAAGAGGTGAAGGAGGCGCAGGAGAAATGATGAGAGGAAACCAGATCGTTTGTCCCGAGCGATGGAGACGATAAAAAGGTGCAAAGACAAAGTTTAATAACGCTCAGAGTCATGCAAAGACAGATTGAATTATTTTCAACTTCTCAAAGAAAATGTTTTTCAGCACAGAGATCCTCGTGGCGTCCTGATGAAGCCGGTCAGACCAAACCCCATTCAAAAAACAACTCGTCTCACAGGTACACCTGACGATTCATATCCACACCTTTTACAATCTGCAAAGTGATGACGTCATTTCAGCATCCTTTAAACCGTTCATGTGAAATAAGTCACAGCGACCTTAAATATCTGTGAAGAAGAGACGCTGATACTCAGGCTCAGTCGAACCTTAAAGTAGAACTAAAAAAGATTGGATTAAAGCGTGACACGATCAGCTCAATTCAGTCTTTCTTGCAGATTTTAGATCTCTGACTCATAGCTCTCGATTAAAGTATCGTGGACTTGTTCCTCAGACCTTCTTCTGTAGTGAGTAGTGGCGTCCTGATCTCTAATCCCGACTAATTAATCACCGACGACTTCATGCGATCTCTAAAAGTCGAGTTCAGTCTCTAACAATCTCTAGAGTCAGAGTGAGCGCTGATCTGATCTTTCATCTCCTGCAGGCAGCCTCACGCTTTATTTTACCTTCTTATTAAGTGTGTGTGTGTGTGTGTGTGTGTGTGTGTGTGTGTGTGTGTGTGTGTGTGTGTGTGTGTGTGTGTGTGTGTGTGTGTGTGTGTGTGTGTGTGTGTGTGTGTGTGTGTGTGTGTGTGTGTGTGTGTGTGTGTGTGTGTGCGCGTGTTCTCCATCTGCTCTCAGCTGGTGGTCTTATTAGAGCTACATGGACAGATGCCTTTCTCTCTCTCACACACTCATACATATAGATCAATAAGATGCAGTCTAATGGCTCTCCACTGCAGGTATAAACACACACACACACACACACGCACACGCACACGCACACGCACACACGCACACACACACACACACTGTACTCTCCTGTGTGTACAGATGATGCTCTGGCCATCTGCTGGAGAGTGAAGAAAGTGTCAGTTTCCCTCACCATGTCATTAATCTCCAAGCCCTGAGCCTGTTGACCACACACACACACACACACACACACACACACACACACACACACACACACACACACACACACACACACACACACACACACAGGGGCAGGTCAGCCAACACATTCACTACCCAGAATCCCTCTGGCTCCTCTGTCCCGGTCCGGTCATGTTCAGCAGTTTCGCTCTGTTTGTCGTTTAGTCCAAACCTCCAGCCTGTCTTTACCCATCATGCACCTCTGCTGCTGCACAAACCACACACACACACCTCTGCAGAGAATCTATAAACCAACAACAACAAATCAAATGAAGACTTTTATCAGTCTTTATTTATGTTCTTTAGAGCGTCTGTGAATAAATCCAAATTTGAGCTTTAACAATCTGTCCTTGCTTTGTCTCCGTTCAGCACGCGTTCTCAATTTTCAAGCTGAGTCGTTTTCGGAGCGTTTAAAGATATCGATCCCCGGCGTTTAAAAAAGAATCTGTCCACCAGAGACGACGCTTCAGATAGGATTCAAACATGGGATGTGATTTTTGTCCTTAACGAGCTTCCGTACACTCTGACTCTGATGATCTGAGGAGTATGACGAGGTACGAACAGAAGCCTTATACCACACACACTCTCTCACACACACACACACACACTCACACACACACACACTCACACACACACACACACACTCACACACACACTCAACACACACACACACAGGACGCCCCGTGTCTTCGTCCTGTCCCCGCGTCTGATCAGGCCGTTAATCGACGTTAAAGGACTGGACTTTGGCAGATGTGGGCGGAGTCTCCCTGCCGTGTGTTTGTCTTTAAAGAGTGATGAAGAGGACGAGGCAGTAAAGAGAGAGAGAGAGAGAGAGAGAGGAAATCATTGCTCGAGTGAAACCAGTGCAATATCTTTTTATTTTTTATCGTGGTAAAAGCATGTTGTTGTCAATCTTACCTTACAACAATAATAAAGGTTTTTTTTATGTACGCCTCGCTGTCTGCTGCGTCCTCATTGTGTTTTATGATGTTTTGATCCATCATCGCCTTCATGCCGCACGCCAGGCTTTTTACATTAAGGGCGCTATGTGTTGTTTGTTTTTTTTGAGACGTTTCTGCTGCTGAAGTCACATAAAGTCAAACACTAAATGATGGATGGACTCTGGATTGAAGCGTGCCTCAGGCGGCGGCGGCTGCTCTGCAAAAACATGTCTGTTAAAAAATCCTTCCTTTCAGACTGTGAGCCACTGAAGCGCTCTGAAGACCCGTTTCCACCAAGCGGTCCCGTTCAGTTTGGTTTTGTACGGTACCCATTTATTGGAGTTTCCACCTTCAAAAGTTGGGAATGGTACCAAAATAAGGGATCTGTACTGTCCTACTTTTTTGGTACCCTTAGCCCCGTTTCCACCAAGCGGTCCGGTTCAGTTCAGTACAGTTCTTGCATGAGTTTTCACAGCCAACCTTAAGATTATTTGGTAAGCGGAGTGTAGCCAGATGGAGATAGCTGCGTCAGCTATGTAACAGTGTGACATCATAACAGCCCAACACAGTGAAGCCCGCTATTAATCAAGTTCAACGAAGAAGAAGAACAGGGACATAGTAAACAAAAGGGACCCTTTAGGATCGGATCGGTACCCTTGGCTCTCTCGATTTGTTGCACTTCCTTATTTGGTCGTCTTCCTCTAAACTCCACCTGAGCCGATCACAGATCTCACTGAGCACACCTGGTCCTGATGGAGGACGATCTTCTTCAGCCTGAGGTAAGCTCTTCTGTCTGTGTTTTTAAACCATGATGTCATTCACTTATATTTCTCCACATCATCTGAAGGTTACCAAAGTGAGTCTGACATGAAACAGAAACTTCATGCAGCAGCTGTGTGTAAATGTTCAGGTGGAAGAGAAACACCATTTTCTACTTATTATGAACTGTGCGTTTATTATTCCATACAGACTTTAAAGGTCACACATTCTCCTCCTCCTCTTCAGTGTAAATAAGTCTCAGAGCTCCTCAAAACGTGTGTGAAGTTTCTTGTTCTAAATCCACTCTGATCCTGTATTTGATCATGTCTATAAACCCCTCTATTTCAGCCCTGCTCAGAACAGGCTGTTTCTGTGTCTGTACCTTTAAATATGTAAATGAGCTGTGTCTGACCACGCCCCCTCTCTGGAAGGGCTTGGGTGTACTCGGGCTTTCTCGCTCCATGTCCTATTGTTTACAGTGAGAAGGCAGAACAAACACCTAGCTGTGGGAGTGTCACCCACCTGGGGGAGGGGCTACTGCCCTTTGTGATGTCATGAAGAGAAAATCTCCAAATCGGCCTGTTTGAGCACACATTTTCTGAAAAGTGGAGCAGGCAGAAGACGGAGAGGTATTATATTAGAGTTAGAGGAACATGGTGAAGTGGATTTTACATAATGTGACCTTTAAAACTGGTAGTTCCAGTATGATGTACTGTGTGTGTTTGCATTCTCTTGGAGAAGACGGGCGGCTTCTTAGAAAATCAGCCGCTCAGGACTGATTTCACTGAAGATGCAGACCTGTTGTTTTTTTTTTGCAGTGTATGAAGCTTTTAGTTCTCAGAAGGGAGAAGCAGCGTTTTCCTCTCAAACTGCTCTCTTTGGATCGTCTAATAGAAGTGATGTTAAACTCCCCCTTCTCTCTTTGTTCATGCCTGAGTGTTTGATTCTCCGTCGTTTGTTCTCATCACGTCCTGCTGTCCTCCTGGACTCCGAGGCCGAGCAGAAAAGTGGCAGTAAATTATCTGTAAACTCGTTTC